ATGCACCCCCATTCTGTTTTCTAACATGGTGGAGGGTTCCTAATGACAAGAATGTTTGATAGTATTTGGTATTCTCTTTCTTGCAAGGAAGTGAAACGACTGGAGAAGGCCAAAGCATGGCTTTTGTGTGCTAAAGGTATCAGCTTCCTGCAAAGACTTGGCAAGTGCTAATATTTCACTTGAAAAAAAAAACAGACTTGCAGGGGCAATTGGGAAAATAACAGGTTTTATCAAGAAATATCTTACATTTTATGCTCAGCCTGAAGAAATCAGTTGTCCTGCTCCTTACAAGTTCATTAGCAAATAAAAACTTGGCCTTTCTGATGTGTTAAAGACAAGCAATCACCACTTACACTTACTGGGGGCATTACGGGCAGGTGTGTGACTATGCTGAGTTGTTGCCCAGCTTGTTTTGGCATTCATGGTGCTCTCGGGTGCTATTTAGGAGAAGGGTGGGAGATGGCGTTGGCCTAGATATTAAATAGACTGTGGTCATAAACTGTAATATGAAAATCAGTTTGAAGCTGCAGTCAGGTTTGGTGGCAAGGAGAGGGTTCTCTTGCACACACTGTCACCTAGACAGCCAAGGAAGTGACTAGAAAGTGACTCTGAGTTTGTCCACACAAAAGTCTCAGCTGGGTCTTGCAACATTGTTTTCAGGTGTTTTTTGGGGTTTTTTGTTGTTGTTTTGTTTTTTAGCATGAGAATTTTGTGTTTTAAGCAAAAAAAGAAAACGACAGAAGGATGAAGGATTTGGGCATCTCACAACCTCTGTTCAGAAACTGGAGGAGAGAGACATGAACCAGGAACTCAGGGGTGACTGGCAGCAGAAGGATGACTGGTGGGTGAGCTAAGCAGAGCTGCCACCCATCCTTGGGCTGTCTCTAATCTTGAAGTGCTTTAATAGTCTTTATAATTAGTCAGATTCTGGCATATGCATTTGCAATTTGGAAAGCTGCTTTTTGACATTACTGTTACCCATGACCATGAGAAGTTTATTGGCATTTATATAGGGAGAACTCTTTTAAAGTCTTGAACGTCTGCACTTTCAGGTAGAATCACACATGGATTGCTGTCTCTGAACCATCAGCTCTGATTTAAGAGGACAGTGCCCTTTGTCTCTCTTCACTCTCACTGAGAATGTCACGTGTCTTTCAGGAAGTAGAGTCGGGGACTATAATCTCAGTTCTGTCACTGACACACTGGGTGACCTTTATCATCAAGTTTGTTGCTTGTTGTGCCTCACTTTTCCTATTTATCAAATGAGGAGGTTGAGCTGGAAAGATAATAAGCTTTTTTCAGCTTGAAGATTTTCCCTTTTTTGGTGGGGGTGGTATAGGCGATTTGTTTTCACCATTCCAGCCATATTTACTATGATTTTTTTTTTTTATGGCCAGCTGCTCAATCACCACGAGATCTTCTCTAGCAAACTTGATTGCCCCCAGATTTCCATTTGAACTTAATGAAGTATGTTGGAGGACAGTGTACTGTCTCGTTGAGCACTTTCCAAGGGTTGTTCTGGAAATGGAAATCTAGCCCAGATCTCTCCAGGGTACAAATCCCTGAATAATGTTCTCTGAGACACACATGCATATTTTCTGATGTTTCACTTGACCTTGGTACTGGGGAAAGGCTACAAGAACGTTTGAATTCTTACCCAGTACTACAAGAAAGTCACTGCTCCCATCCTTGGTTTTTCCAAGATGTGGTTATCTGGTGGAGGTTCTGTTGCTGGAGGCACTTCAAGGACACTGCAGTCAAACTACCCTTGCTGTGCCTCGGTTTCCCTCCCTCATAATTCAGTCCTTGTGGTACTCGTTGCCAGAGAGACTTGCCTTGTGTGGGAGGGTTGTCACAGGGCTCAGGGGGACCTAGCTATTTGCCAGATTATTTAATGGACCAAATTTAGATTGGAAAGTAGGAAAAGGATTTTTAACTTGCTCTTTTGGGGAGTGGGGAAATCACACAATCACACAATGGCTCTCGGCGACCAGGACTATATTCACGGCCATACTCAGTGATGTTGGGCTCAAACCCAGGACCTCAAACATGCAGAGCACATGAGCCTCACCTCCCGCTCAAGCCACACCTGTCGGCCCTGACTTTCCCTCTTGAATATATCATTTGAGTTCCCTGGACTTCACTTTCTTCTCAGAGTGCATATGATATATTTCTGAAAGGATCATTCTTCCAGCTCTAGAGATGAGAGTTTGTTCCTGGCTCTAACAGGATTCAAAGGGACTTGGGACATGCATGGTGACTGTCACATCAGATACTTATTTATCCCTGCTGCCCAGTGTGACTCAGCGTGATCAGGCTTTGGGTCATATATTCAGTATCGTCAGTGGGTAAGTGTCCTGGGGTTGCTAGAATCCCCGGCTGTTTTACCCAAAGTTAGCAACCTCCCAAGACGGTCAGCAACTGCTCGTCAAGGGCCAGCATAGGGATGGCCGGGGGTGGGGGTGGGAAGTGTAAGTAAGCGAGGTATTAGGGGTTTGAGCGAGACTCTAGAAATCTCTCTCACTGGCCAGAGGTTGGTGTCTACACTGTAAACCCACTGATTCTTATTTGTACATTAGCTCTCTTCTGTCTTATGGCCATTGTTACCGCAGCAGTAGAAAATGAAGACCGGAAGAAAGAGCTTGCAGCTAGCGCACCCACTCCCATCATTAAGTGACTTAGCTTTGTTGTGCTTTCCTGTTTCCTGGAAACGTTACTTCAGCTGACGGTTGGGTCTGAGTTGGTCTGTATTTTTCTCACACACTTAACCGAACTCTTACTCTTCAGTGGCCTCTTGAATATAGGAGGAATTGGCAGGTGGTAGACTCAGCAGATTGGGCCGGGGGACTGGTTTCCAAGGCAGTGGTTTTTAGTGTGTGTTCTGCAGACTGGCAGATTGACATCACCGAAACTAGGAATGCAAATTCTCTGGCCCTGCTCCCGACTCCCTGAGCCAAAGTCTGAAGTGTGGCCCAAACATCAAAGAACCCATGCATGCCCAAAAGTTAGTAACACAGTCCCAGAAGAGGGATCTACAATTTCCCAGCTCAGAAGGCCCCTAGGAATCCAAGAATCTGTGACTCTCAGTACCCTGGCCGGACAAGCTAGCCTGGAGGGCAGGAATCGTGTCCCCAGGTTTCCTGCAGTCACCTTTGTGCAGTCTGTTTATGTGACATAGGGCTGCTGAGTTGGTTGAGAAGGTATTTGTCTCCTTAGCCAAAAATGAAGGTGGAAGAATGTTTTTACATTTGTTCTTCCAATAAGTCATATGACAGATACGGAAACTGAGGTTCAAAGATGGTCACTTTGCCAAAGTGACACTATTAGTGGCAGAACCAGGATTTGGCCCCAGGTCAATCTGCCCTTGAGTGTCCGTTCCATCACACCATTCGCATTCCTTGAGTAGAGCCAGCTTTATTGGGTGGGTGTTCCCAGGAACCCTAGCAAATAGGACCTTGGCTTTTGAAAATTGAGTTCTATTGATCAAAAATTCTCCTCTGTGCACCTCCCAACCCCACTAAGAGAAGATGGTTTCAGAAGGATAGTACAGCGGGTAAGGTGCTTGCTTTGATGGAATCGATCCCTGGTTGATTCCCAGTACCCCACATGGTCCCCTAAGCACCACAAGGAGTGGACCCTGAGCATCCTTTAGTTCTTGTACTTGTAGAACCTCATGTAGTTCTGTAACCATCAGGGGGCCCGCAAGCAACTCGGGACTTCCGGAACAAGTGCCTATGAGCTGTTGACCTGGGAGTTTACAACTCTGCTTTCCAGAGGCTGTGTGGCAGCCCCTGTTCCTCCCCTTCTCGCCGCAGACTTCTCCCAGACTGCTGGATGCTGGGATCCTGTGGCAGGTATGTGGCAGCCGCCAGTCAGTTTCGTTACAGGCTTCCACAGGCTGGAATGACAGCCAAGGGGGCCAGGCTGCCAGGCAGTCTGGCCAGCAGCTGCTTTGCCCCAGACCACTCCCCACTCTTCACCTGGGTGTCGCTCACCATCCCAGGAGGGGCCCCGTCTCCCAGCAACCTCCCAGTGCTTGCCATGCACCCCCTGGTTCTTATGGTAACCCAGTTTAACAAACATACCTGAGGTTTTATAAATAGCGCGGTGATTGGCTAGGAAGCTGTCCTGTGCAACAAGACCAAACATGCACTTCCCTGCCTTGTTTTTAGGCAATTCCTGGCGTCACGTGACCTTGCATTAAGTCTAGCTACTCTCCACCTCCAGCTCTGTGCTCTGCATGTAGGTCTGATTTCTGTTTTGTGTTTGCATCTGCCCCCCGCCTCCACCGGCTTGCCTTCCGAGGTGGTGCTTCCAAGTCTGTTCCTGGGACGTTTCCTGTTCTTGCAACAGCTGCACCAGCCTGGGGTACCCTCTTGCTACTTGATCCTATAGGGAGGTGTCCAGTGGCTGTGGGCAATTTTCAGATGACCTTGTTCCTCTGACGTCATTAGATGGCTATTTTGGGCTTTGCTGTTTATGCTGCACAGAAGTTGGGCTGGGGTGGGGGAGAAAGAGTGAAGGGGTGGGCGGGTGTGGCTTCCTGTCTCAGGACCCCCCCCCCCGCCCCCCCAGCAAAGGGGAGAAATTTATTTTCCCGCGCTGGATAGCGTTGCTGACAGTTTATGTATTCTCCACTCCCAGAAGCTTTTCCAGCAGGCAACTGCTCTGTGCTGTGGAGGATGATTAAGCGCGAGGGCTGCAGAGCCAGGAAGCTCAAGTTAACTCTGGCCCTTCAGGAATCACCTCTGAAACTTTGGGCAGGTTGCCCCATGGTGCCTCAGTTTCCCTTGGAAATGAGAGTGATGATAGTATATGTTGCCGTCTCAGTAGCCGGCCTGACACTGACTAAATCCCCTGCCCCTGAAAGAAAGAGCCGGCCCTGTTTACAGGGGCCCAGGGGCTTGCTCCACCACTCCACGCATGTGAGGATGAGGGATGTAACAGTTACCTTCTGCCCGAGCTAATACACCCGGCCCTGAAAGCGGGAGATGTGAATCATGAACATCTGTATTGAGCCTGACGAGTTAAATGTGATACACGTGGATTGCCCCCTGAAATGTGTGTACAAAAACCCTTGCGTGAGAGCTAATAAACGGATTGCTATTGACCACCAGCTTCTCCCCCTCCACGTGGTTCTTTCTCGGTGGCGGCGGGAGTCCACGGTGCACGAGGGCCAGGGCAGAGGCTTCTCCCCTTCCCACTCCCTCTCCTATAGTGAGTAAGTCCGGCGACCAGGGGGATCATACTCCAGTGTGTCAGGGTCGACTGGCCAGGACCCCGACAAGTATATACCTGTCAGTTTGCTGAGATGATAAGAGGGATATTGTGTCTGCTAGATGGTAAACGTACAAATAGGAGCATTCACACTGATGGCAGCAGCACTCTGATTTAGAGTCCTGGGGACAGACAGGAAGTTAACCGGCCCGGTCCTTGTTTCTTGTGACCTGGCCTCCAGGTCCCTCTACACCTAGGACAGCACTTCTGCCTTATGCACCACTTTGCTCCCAACTTGCGGGGAACTTTCAGGGAAACGAGGTGATGTTCTTGCCCTGGGGAAGCCTCAGAGCAGTGGCTCTTGATCCTGATGGTACATCGGAAGCTTCTGGAGAGATTTGAAGCCCCAGGTTCCCACCGTTCTGATTGCATGCGAGACCAAGGTGTGCCCAGCTATAGAAGCACAGCCGGGGTTGCTCAGGGATGGGACTCGTGGAAGCCTTCCACCGGGGCACACGTGGCCTCAGCAGCAGCTCAGAACTTACCCTATAAATTGTGCATGAAAACCACCCAAGGGAGGGAAGGCGTTTGCCCTGCGCTGAGCCGACCTAGGTTCATCCCTGGCACCCCGTATGCTCCCCAAGCACTTCCAGGAGTGATTTCTGAGTACAGAGCCAGGAGTAAGTCCTGAGCATTGTTGGATGTGACCCAAAAAATAGAAACCACGTGAAATGCTGATGATAGTTTCTGGGACTCCCCACCAAGCAAGGTTCACTTTCTGTTATTTGGTTTTTGGGTTTTTTTTGGGGGGTGGGAGGACCACAGCCAGTGGTGCTCAGGGGCTACCCCAGGTTCTGCTCAGAGACATGTAATGCTGGGAATCAGACCCCGGCCAATGTCAACATATTTCAAATGATTATTTGCTGTATGTTGTTTCAGAAAAAGAAAATCCAAAGAGTTTTCCTCACTCACCTTTTTTTGTTTGTTTGTTTTAGTTTGATTTTTTAATTTTTGCCTATACCCAGTGGTTGTCAGGCCTTGCTCCTGACCCTTCACTCAGGAATCACTCCTGACTGGTGGACTCTGGGGACCAAATCGGATGCTGGGGGTTGAACCCGGGTCGGCCATGTGCAAGACATGCAACTTACCCTCTGTACTATTGCCAAACACAGTAACAACAAGTCTCACGATGGAGATGTTACTGGGCCCGCTCGAGCATACGAGCATATCGATGAACAACAGGAGGACCGTGACTGTTGCTCTAGACCTCCCCACACACACCTGTCACTGCATTATTTATATCCCTTTATTTTCTCCTAAGCTTTTTTTTGGGGGGGTTTTGTTTTCTTTTGTTTTGCTTGTTGGGTCACATCCTGCAATGCACAGGAGTTACTCCTGGCTCTGCACTCAGGAATTATTCCTGGCGGTGCTCGGGGGACCGTAGGGGATGCTGGGAATCGAACCCGGGTCAGCCGTGTGCAAGGCAAACTCCCTACCCGCTGTGCTATAGTTCCAGACCCTCCTAAGTATTTTTAATAAAAAGTATCCCACTACATGAAGGATTTTATAATTTTTTGTTTTTTTAAGTCACATTTTATTTATTTTTTGCTTTTTGGGTCACACCCAGCAATGCACAGGGGTTACTTCTGGCTCATGCACTCAGGAATTACTCCTGGTGGTGCTTGGAGGGCTATATGGGATGCTGGGAATCGAACCCGGGTTGGCCGCATGCAAGGTGAGCGCCCTACCCGCTGTGCTATCGTTCCAGCCCCTATAATTTTTTGGTTTTGGTGGCAGTATTCAGATCTTACTCCCGGCACCGTACTCAGGGATCACCTTTGACAGGGCTTGGCGGATCGAACCCAGGTCGACTGTGTGCAAGGCCTTACCCACTGTCCTCTCTCCAGCCCACATTTTAAACGAAAGTGTAATGTGAAGATTCTATATTCCCAGTGTCATCTGTGTCACCAAAATAACCAGTTTTATCCTTACCACAAACCAGAACATTCCGGAACTAATAAATAAATAACTTTCATAATAAAGCCCAGCATGGCCTGGACAGAACAGTGTCTTTGGGCTTGCGGGAGTTTACGTCATGCATCCCTGCTCCCATCTCTGGAGGGAGGTGCTGGCCCCTTGCTGTAAGGCTTCCTGGGCGTCTGAACCGTCCGGCTAAAACCGGGGACACAGGGGCCCGGTTGGGAAGCAGGTAAAATGCTGCTCCTGACGGGCCGGCCGGAGGGAGAGTCGTGAGGGGGAATTGGCCGCTCCTGGACTTGGAAAGGCTGTTGCTCAACTCTTATTTTCCATCACAGCCTAGCAGGGAGAGGGTCAGGCTGGGAAATGTCTCCTCCAGGCAGGTCCTTTTAAAGCCTCTTGGCTAGATCAGTTTCCTCCCAGGAGCCAGAGAAGCACTTGCCACCCCGCCTCCCCCGCCCCGCCCCCGCCCCCAGAGGGGTTAACCCCTTCACTGCCAAGGAATCCTCCCCAGCATGGGGTAGCCCGCCGCCCGGGCTTCTGGAATGCAGAGCCACCCAGGGCAACAGGCCTGAGGAGCCGTGAACTCTGGCCGGGGAACCTTCCCTCCTGCCTTGTTAAACCCAGCAGGCACAATTGCCTCCTGCTGACCTTAATTCCCCTGGCCGTTTTAATTGGTCCTGGCATGGACCCACTTCCTGTCCTGCCCCTCTAGAGGCAGAGGGCAGCAGCGCAGCTGGTGCAGGTCGGGGAAAGCCCCTTCCGGGTGGGCAGAGGCCTGGCAGCCCCCAGCTGGGTGGAGGAGGGTTTCTCCGAGCTCCACCCTGATGCCTCCAAGGAAGCCTGGAGAAGAAGCTGGGACTCCCAGGAGCAGCTGGCCAGGGCGGGCAAGCCCCAGGGAGCTGGCCAGCCTCATCCTAGCAGGAGAGCATGGCGAAGCTGCTCCCATGACTGAGACCCCACGGGGCCGCAGGTACGGGGCCAAGCACTCAGCATACACGCGCCCAGACTTAACACGGCCGCCCTGGATGGAGGCAGGCAAGGTGCAGAGACTGTTGAGGAGTTAAGCCTCGGGCTAGACAGTTCAGAGCCGGTGCCTGGCTCTTGTGGCTCAGCTTTCCTGCCACATCTGTGAAATGGGGGTGCAATGGCTGACACCTCACCCCCGTGCCATGTTGTGCCAGGTTGTACCCCTGCACTCCCTGTCGTACGTGGTCTAGACACCGCACCCCATGCACAGCGCTCCACAGCGCCCCTTGAGTGAGGGGCGTGTTCTTCCAGCGCTTCTCCTGTGGACCTCAGCGTGTCACTGGCCCTCCTAACTGACCGCCACTCTGGGGAACTTTGGGTTTTTCTGTTATTTTATTTTCATTAAGATTGCACTGGCTGGAGCAACAGCACAGCGGTAGGGCGTTTGCCTTGCGCGCAACCAGCCCACTGAGCCGGGTTCGATTCCTCTGCCCCTCTCAAAGAGCTTGGCAAGCTACCGAGAGTATCTCGCCTGCACGGCAAAGCCTGGCAAGGTACCCGGGACGTATTCAATATGCCAAACACAGTAACAACAAGTCTCAAAATGGAGACTTTACTGGGCCTGCTCGAGCAAATTGATGAACAAGGGGAGGACAGTGTTTGTGTTTGAGATTGCACTGCTTTGGAAGACTGTGAATGCTTATTCTTCTTATTATTATTGTTATTATTATGTTTTTGAGTCACACCGAGTGATGCTCAGGGGTTCCTCCTGGCTCTGCAATCAGGAATTACTCCTGGTGGTGCTGGGGTGGGGGGACCCATAAAGGATGCTGGGGATCGAACCCTGGTCCGCCACATGCAAGGCAAATGCCCTCCCCACTGTGCTATCACTTCGGCTCCAAGATCGTGAATGTTTATATGGAACAGGTACAGTGCTACCATCTATGTCCACCACTACAGTGATATATTCTCACCCCCACCACACACACCGTCCTTTGAACCCCCTCTACCTCTTCAGCTCCCATTTTTTCCTATTTTGGAAGGGGTAGGGCCAGGGACTGAACCCAGGCCTCATGTCTGTGGAGCGTGTTCTCTCCCACTGAACCACATCCTGGCGCTCAGGGGACTTGTCAGAGGGAACAGAGGCTGCTCAGGAAGCTGCTCAGCCGAGAGCTGGTGCCTTTGGTGAGCAGAGAAAGCTTGCCATTACTGGTTACTGGGGGGTTGGGTACGGTAACAGCAGGGAAGAAAGGACTGCAGACGTCTCCCCTGGGGAGGGCGCTCAGACTTTGCATCTGAGTATTTTGGAGCCCGAGAGCTGCATAACTTTAATTGATTAATGTTTGGCATTGAGGCCACATCTGGCAATGCTCAGCAGTTACTCCTGGCTCTGAACTCAGGGATCACCCCTGGCAGTGCTCAGGGAGCCAGATGGGATGTTGGAGATCAAACCCGGGTCCACCGCAGGCAAGGCAATTGGCCTATTCACCATACTATCGCTCTAGCCGTCATGTGAATTTATTTTTGGAGTTGTTATTTGTTTGGGGTCCACACCCAGCTATATGGAGGACTTCCTCCTGGCTCTGTGCTCTGGGGTTAACTCCTGGCAGGGCTCAGGGTGCCAGGGATCAGACCCGGGTTGACGACATTCAAGGCAAACGCCATGCCTGCTGTATTACCTCTCGGTCCCCAAGAGCTGTGGCTTTAGGGACGAGCCTCTTAGCCGCTCAGCATTGCCTGCTGCCCTGTGGGATGACCCGACACTTGGTCCAGCCCCCGTGGCAGGATGGGCAAAGGCCTTGGCAGAGTCAGACTGCCCGTGGTCACTTCATCCACCACAGGCATTGATGAGCAGACTGACTCCAACCAGGATGGCAACAGGGCCACGGCGGAGGGATCCCACAGACACAGGCCAGAGCCTCGTTGGTCACCCAGTTATCTACTCAACAAACAAGGCAGAGGACACTTAGTGCTGGGGATATGTGAGCAGTCCCCAGCCCTGCATTAGGGGCCTCCCAGACACTCGGTGATGGGGACAGCCTAGAGTAGCACTCTTCAACCTTTCCACAGCTGCAGACCAGCAGCGACCTGTGTGCTGGCCCTGAGAACTAAGGCAGTGACTGATGTTGTGGTTTCAGCCTTTCTTCACCTTCTGACCCTGTAGACCACAGGCCGACCACCCGGAAGGCGGCCAGAGGAGGCTGTCTAACATTCTGTTTGGGGTCACGCCCGGCATGCTCAGGACTCACGCCTGGTTCTCTACCTAGGGATCATCCTAGCAGGGTCAGGGGGCTGTCTGGGTTGCCAGGGCTTGAACTCCGGTTGGCCATGAGCAAGGCAAGTGCCTTCCCCTTTCTGTTCGATCTGGCTCGTGTCAACATTTTAAGCTAAACCAGGATATGGTGTGGAGATCGCCAGATAGAGGGCCAGGGATTTCTCCAAATAGGCATGGGCGGGAATTATCTTTCCCTTTAGAGAACCGTAAAGTGGGGCTCTGGGAGAGGGGACCAGGAGATGGGGCCATTTGAGGAAAGAAAGAAGGCTGGGGGCAGGGGACAGGTGTCAGAGCCTTAGCACAACGGGGAGGGTGTTTGCCTTGCACGCAGTCAACCTGGGTTTGATGCCAGCATCCCATATGGTTCTCTGAGCACTGCCAGGAGTAATTCCTGAGTGCAGAGCCAGGAGTAAGCCCTGAGCATCGCTGGATGTTTACCCAGAAAGAAAGCCGCTCGTTTCCAAGATTCGTTTGTGTGTCCCTGGGATCATGCCTGTTAAGGAGCTTAATCAGTAGCTGGGGGCCCTTCGTGGGCATCATCTCAGGGTCCCGTTGGGGCGGGGGAGGAGAATGACTAGCTCCTCCCCTATACCCTGAGGCTCGGCATGTGTCGTCACTGCTGGCCTGTACTTGGTTTTTTCATTGAGTTCTAGAAGATGGCGGCCACTGGGCTTCTTGGGGAACAGGCGGAGGGACAGCACCTGCTCCCGTCTGGGGTGGCCCGGAGAAGGTGGCCTAATGCAAAGTCCGGAGGCATTTCTGAGCCAAGAGCTGCTCGGTTCTGAGATTCGTTTGTGTGTCTCTGGGATTGTGGCTGTTAAGGAACTTAAAGAGACTCTGGGCTTTGAGGGACACTTCTGACTCAGTTCCCTGCCTGGTGAACCGACTTCAGGCAAGTTGCTCATTTAAAAAAAAATTTTTTTTTATTATTTCTTTTAAAAAATAGTGAAACACCATGAGGTACAGTTGTAGACTTACAAATTTTTGTGCTTGGGTTTCAGTTATACAGTGATCCAGTACCCATCCCTCCACCAGTGCCCGTTCTCCATCATTTACATTTTTTAAAAATTTTTGTTAGTGAAACACCATGAGGTACAGTTGTAGATTTACAAATTTTTGTGCTTGGGTTTCAATTGAACAATAATCAAATACCCATCCCTCCACCAGTGCCCATTTTCCACCACCACCAATCCCAGTATCCCTCCCAACCCCCACCTCCCCCATCCCAAGTCGTTCTTTTGATCGCGTTTTCTAGACAACAGAATGAGTCTCCCATAGTCCTTACCAAGATGTGGTTGAAAGGCAGGACAAATAAACCTAACAGTTGGCTCCAGAAAATGCGCACCCCCTCCCTTAGGAGCTCAGAGTTGGGCGCCAGCACAGACGCTTACCAGCCCGAGTTTTGTGTGAGTCAGTGGCGCTCCGTGCCTCTCCCCCACCATCCTTGGGAGCTGGAGCTACCCCCTCGACCGGACCCACAGCCGTGTGACTCCACAGGTACATGTAGAGTGAGGTGAGCCTGGACAGTAGCAGTAGCAGCAGCTTCTGCTCCTCGGTGCTGAGCTGCGAGGGAGGGGAACGGAGAAGGATGAGTTTCGGAGCAGGTCCAGCCAAGCCCTCCGAGAGGAAGCAGCTCCCGCCCCCACCAGCAGCCCCTGCCCCGGCTCACTTTACAAAGGTCTCGTTTTGAAGAGTCACCTGTTCGCAGAGTTCCTGGTTTAAATTAAAACATGAACAGGCAGAGAGTGACATTTCCCTCCATCCCTGTCCCAGTGTCCTCTACTTCCTTTTGGGGGGCAGGGCCATGCCTGGCAGTGCTTGCAGGTTGCTCCCCGTTCTATGCTATGTGGGGGTCCCTCTCCACAGTGCTCAGGCCGCAATGCTATACTGGGGATGGTGCCCCAGACCCATATGCAATGCCTATGTCCAGTCCATGGCGCTCTCTTCAGTACCCTCCCTCCCTCTCCCCTCCCCCCCTCCCTCCCTCCCTCCCTTCCTTCCTTCCTTCCTTCCTTCCTTCCTTTCCCTGCCCTCCCTTCTTCCCTCCCCCTTCCCTTCCCCTCCCCTCTCCTCCCTTCCCCTTCCCATCCCTTCTGACCTTGTGAGCTCAGGGGCCACATGCAGCATGGCATTCTGGTGTTGCTCAGGGGACTGTGTGATACTGGGACTCAGACCTGGGACTCTTACATGCAGTGCTCGCACTTCAACTATTTGAACTTCTCCCTGGCCTCTGGTCCTGGTTTCTTGCTTTATCCTGTGGAAATTTTTTTTTCTTCTCTTTGGGTCACACCTGGCAATGCTCAGGGGTTTCTCCTGGCTCTGCACTCAGGAATTACTCCTAGCGGTGCTTGGAGGAACATATGGGATGCTGGGAATCGAACCTGGGTCGACCATGTGCAAGGCAAACACCTACCCCGCTGTGCCATTGCTCCAGCCCCTCCCATGGAAATTTTTATGTGTGCAAAGTGTGTATATTATACTTCAGACTACTATCTATGTTAACCCCTTTTGCCAAATGAGAGTACACCCTAGATTCAGTCCTAAGCCTAACTTTTTGTTCATTTGTTTTTTTTGGGGTCCAGGCCTGGCAGTGGTCAGGGGCTACATGCTTGGGGGAGCCGTGGAGTTGGGGGTGAACCGGCCCCCGCAGACCCACGCATGCATGCTCTCACACTCCCCGCCTGCTCCTGGCTCCCCCGCCTGGATCTGCTTCAGCTCAGCCCATCAGAGGCTTCCTCAGTCTCCCCAGCGGCCCTGCAGACTCCCTGCAGAGGCACTCACTCGCTGCTTCCTCCACTGAGAGGACTCAGGCCAGGGAAAGGGGTGGGGATGGCTGGAGGGAGACCTGCCACAGTGGGCACCTGAGCCTGGACATGCCCGCAGCTGTTTCCAAGGAGCTCTGTGCCCCAGGACTGGGGCCTGAGACAGACAACCCCTGGGGATGGAGACCCTCTGGCCCGTGCCAATGTCTCCTCCTCCTCAGCTAGAACCCCCAGGGCTCACATGGTGAGGGGCCCTTGCCCCCTTCTAGGTGGCCACTGGAGGGCCGTGGATGGGATCTCAGAAGGGGCCCCAGGAGCACTGATGGACTGGTCCCCTCAGCCATATGGCAGCCCCCATCTCCCTAGGACCCTGAGCAAAAGGCATTTTTGGTTTTGGTCTTAACTCCTGGCTCTGCCCTCAGGAATTACTCCTGGCAGTGCTCGGGATGCCGGGGATAGAACCCGGGTCAGCTGCATGCAAGGCAAGTGCACCCTACTCACTGTACTAGTTCTCTAGCCTCTGCAAAAGGCATTTTTTTTTGAAAGAAAAGTTTGGTCCAGAGAGAGCGCAGGAGGTAAGGCATGCGACCAGCCCTGGTTCAAATCCCCAGCACTAAATAAGTTGCCGTGAGCACCACCGGAAGTGACCCCCCAGCACAGAACCAGGAGTAGTCCCTGGGCGTAAGGTGGGAGGCTGGAATTATAGCACCGTGGTAGGACGTTTGCCTTGCACGTGGTCGACCCGGGTTTGATTCCCATAGGGTCCCCTGAGCACCACCAGGAGTAATTCCTGAGTGCACAAGCCAGAAGTAACCCCTGTGCATCGCCAGGTGTGACCCAAAAAGCAAAAAAAAAAAAAAAAGAAGAAGAAGAAGAAGAAAAGGTGATTGGCCCACAAGCACGCCAAGCAATGGCTCGGAGACAAGCTTTTCCCCCTTGCCAGGGCCAGGAAGCATAGCAGGGGGCTGGCTGGGGTGATGGGTGGGGGGGGGGAGAAGGCTGCCTCCCCCTCCAGAGTCCCAGCGCCCCCTCCCTTTTCTCTCCTGCTGTGGCAACACCGTTCTCCACCCCCTCGCTCCATGGAAGAATGCCGTGTCCTCTGAACGGGGGCCAAGAGTGACAGGTGGTGGCAGAGGCTGTGCGGCCCCTGGTGTAAGAGATCCTTCATCCCCGCCTCCGTACCACGGCCCCACCACTGCCCAGGCAGCCGCCGGCCGGTGGACACGCAGCCTCCAGGATCCCGCTCGCTCCAGGCACGGGCCGGACAGCCTGGCACCCCCCCCGCCTGCTTTCTGCAGCTCAAGAGAAGCGGGTTCGAGGAGCGGACACTCAAGGCTTCCTCATGGCAGCGGCGCACGGAGCGGTGGCGCTGGGAGGCCCGAGCCAGTCGGCAGGTGCCACACTGGGGCGGCCCGAGAGGGGAGCTCGGGAAGGGGGGGGTAGACCTCAGTGGGAGTCTGTGCCCCCATCCCTAGGGTGCCTGGGGGACCCCCGAGGTCAGAAAGCTCACTTAGTAGGGCTGCGCTGGCTAGTGTATAATGCTCCCCTTGGGAGATGGGAAATGGGGAAATGTGATGCCTTGGTGGGTGGCACTGCACCCAGGACCAGGGCTGGGGGCAGCAAGGCCCACCAGCTATGGGGCCTCGGGCGGGGGCGGGGGGCAGCCCAGCTCAGCCCCAGGACAAGCTCTTCCCAATGAGCCCGGGGCTGCGGCCCTGTGCTGCGGAGGCTCAGGGAAGGAGGGAGGGCAGGCCTGCACTTACCAGCCTCTCTGCTCCTTTGGCAGAAAAGCCCCCCGCAGAGACAGTGGGGGAACAAGCCCCCACTGCAGAGAAGGAACCTGGATCCCTAGAACCAAAGAAAGAACCTGCCCCCTCAGAGCCAAAGAAAGAACCTTCCCCCCCAGAAGAAAAGAAAGAATCTGGCCCCCCAGAAGCAAAGAAAGAATCTGGCCCCCCAGAACCAAAGAAAGAATCTGGACCTCCAGAACCAAAGAAAGAACCTGCACCCCCAGAACCAAAGAAAGAATCTTCCCCCCCAGAAGCAAAGAAAGAATCTGGCCCCCCAGAACCAAAGAAAGAATTTGGACCTCCAGAACCAAAGAAAGAACCGTCTCCCCCAGAACCGAAGAAGGAATCTGGCCCCCCAGAAGCAAAGAAAGAATCTGCCCCCCTAGAACCGAAGAAAGAACCATCTCCCCCAGAACCGAAGAAAGAATCTGGCCCCCCAGAACCAAAGAAAGAATCTTCTGCCCCAGAACCAAAGAAAGAATCTGGCCCCTCAAAGAAAGAACCGTCTCCCCCAGAACCGAAGAAAGAACCTGGCCCCCCAGAACCAAAGAAAGAATCTTCTGCCCCAGAACCAAAGAAAGAATCTGGCCCCTCAAAGAAAGAACCGTCTCCCCCAGAACCGAAGAAAGAACCTGGCCCCCCAGAACCAAAGAAAGAATCTTCTGCCCCAGAACCAAAGAAAGAATCTGGCCCCTCAAAGAAAGAACCGTCTCCCCCAGAACCGAAGAAAGAATCTGGCCCCCCAGAACCAAAGAAAGAATCTTCTGCCCCAGAACCAAAGAAAGAATCTTCTGCCCCAGAACCAAAGAAAGAATCTGGCCCCTCAAAGAAAGAACCTGACCCAAATACCTCGAAGAAAGATGCCCAAACCCCCAACCTGAAGAGAGGGGCCCCGGGGCTGGCCCAGCCCTCAGGGGGCAGCAAGGACCCTAGTGCTGAGCCTGCGGAGGGCAGCGCCGGGCAGCCTGCGGCCCTGCCTCAGCAGACCAGCACCCCGACGGCCGCGGCCCAGGGCCCCGGAGAGCCCAGTGCCCGGAAGAAGGAGGCAGGGGCCCACGCAGCCAGGAGGGGCTCCCCTGCCTTTCTGCATAGCCCCAGCTGCCCGGCCATCGTGTCCAGGTGAATGCCCTGTCCAGGAATGGCGGAGGGTGGGAGATGGGGGTGGGTCTTGTGTTTTGGAGGGCGCCTGGGGCTTCCTTGGGCAAAGCTTGCTCCCCAGTCCATTCAGACATTCCCTCGGCCCCAAGCACCTCTCCCGGAGGGTCTGCCATCACCCTCCATGCAGGTTGGGCTGCTGCCGTGTGGGCTCCCTCTTCCCACGGCCCTTTGCAGAAAGTAAGACTTTGTGGCTATTCTCAGAAGCCTGCGGTAGGGGCCCTTCACTGAAGTCTGTAGCTCCCCTTAACTTCACCAACTGGACTCTAGCCAAGAGCAAGTTCTTCCCCAGAAGTCTCGATATGACGTAATTGTCAGTAGAATATGGAAAGGTTTCTAACAGCCTGAATGACAGATTACTGCTAATGCTTTCATCACCATAATACAATAATTGCATGAATGGGGTTATTAATGACCGATGGCGAACCATGATGAGAATACTAACCCTCTTGGTTTGAATTACGCATTAATATCAATTGTATCACCGTGGTCTTGAGAAATCAAAAGCAATATATATCATCTCCCTGCATCCATATAGTATTTACCAAATCCAAAACCTCATTCAGAGTCAATAGTAATTAGTGCGGTGAGAGTCCAGTGAGCGCCCAAAGACTCTCATGGTGTCTGTGAGAACATGCCTTGGATTTGCAGAGTTCGGTGACGACTCTGTGCTCTTTGGCGGGCAGCAGGCTGGAGTTAGCTCCAGGTACGGAGGACGCTCTGGCCCTTCTTGACAGCTCTGTGTCCTCATGTTCTAGCTCCGAGAAGCTGGTGGCGGAGAAGCCCCTGAGTGACGCATCCAAACTCATCTTCGAAGGGGTGCCCGTGACCCCTGGCCCGGCAGAGCCCTGCACAGCCAAGGCAGTGGGAGAGAAGAGCCTTGCAGGCAGCTCTAAGGAAGGAGAGAAGGCCCCGGGTCAGGCTGGCCAGGATAAGGCGCAAGGGGACACCTCGAGGGGGACGGCGCCCCAGGCTGTCCCCTTGGAGACATCCGAGGTGGGGCAAGCCCTCACAGCCCGGGAGGAGGACTGCTTCCAGATTTTGGGTAGGCGGGGCAGGCGGGGTGGCCAGGTGGTGCCCTGGGGTGAGGGAGGGGGACGGGGCTCCCCTTGTCCCCCATCTGGAGGATGGAACTGCTCTGAGGAGAGGCTGGTCTGTACGAGAGACCCCCCCTCAAAGGGAGGGGGGTAGCTGTGTTCCTAGTCTCTTCTGATAGATGGGTACTGGAGACTTAGAAGAGAGAAAGGGAGAAGAGAAGTTCCCTTATCACCAAGTCCTCAGCCCTGGCAGGATTTGAACCTGTGGGCACTGCCGGACCCCAGAGCTCACTTTTGACTTTCTTCTTGAGCTAAAATGGGGGTCAAAAAAAAATAGAAGAAGTCAGCCCTCTGGGCAGTTGAGTTTGAGTTGCGTGTGTAGAAGGGCCTGGAGCCAGATTATTCTGGTGTTCGCTCCATCCTGGGGGACTAGGGAGCACTCCCCACCCAGTACCTGGGGCTGGCATGGCCTGCGCTGAAGAGCCCCCCGGGGAGGAGGGGCGCTTGACCACAGGCCCGGAGGAAGGGGCTGGGGGCGGGGTGAGACGGGGTCAGAAGCTCCTCCTCCTCCTCTTCCTCCTCCCCCACCCCCTCCTCCTCCCCCCACCCCTCCTCCTCCTCTTCCTCCTCCTCCTCCTTCTCCTCTGCCCAGCCGGCCCGGGGAGCGGCACGGGGCCACCCAGACAGGGTGGGAGCGCCTGGCGGCGGCGGGGTGGCAGCCAGACGCCCTGTCTTCTCCCCGGGCGCAGAGACCTCCACGCGCCCCGCCCAGAAACCACATCCCCGGCGGGTGACGGACCTGAGCCGCCTCCAAGCGCTGTCTGATTTATCACCCGCCGGCTTCCCTGGCTATTTATAAAGAGGTTTCCATTCTCGATGACTCAGCCCGGCGCGCGCCAGAGCCTGCGCTGCCCCAGAGCGGCCACTGGGTGGCAGTCTCTCCCCACCCACCGGCGCGGGCATCGGCCTCTGGCCGCGGGCGGCGGCGCGTTGGCGCGAGGTGGTCGAGCTGCTCCCCCAGCGGTGCAGTGCGGCGGGCTGGCTGGCACCCACCGCCCTGGCGCCTTTTTCTTTTTCGTCTTTTCCCTTTCTGTTCTGCCCTCCTCCTTCCTTTTGTTCTTTCCTTCTCTTTCCCCGTCCTTAGTTTTGGAGCTGGACCTGGGGCAGAGCTTGGGGGCTACTCCCGGCCCAGTGCTCCGGGGACCACTTGGTGCTGGGGATCGAACCCGGGGCTCCAGCCTGGGCAGCTGTGCTCACCCTGCAGAGCTCTCTCTCCAGACCTTTTTATAATTTTCTTTTGTGACCGTGCAAAGAGTTTGCGGTTAAGTCTTCCCTGTGGAGGGGGGTGGGGGAGGGGTGGAAATAAGAGGGTTCAAGCAGTCCATTACTTCATCCCTATTTATTTATTTATTTATTTTGTGTGTGTGTGTGTGTGTGTGTGTGTGTGTGTGTGACACCCAGTGGGGCTCAGGGCTTACTTCCGGTTCTGCACTCAGGGATCACCCCTGGCAGTCCAACGGGAACACATGGAGTGGCCGGGGATTGAACCCGGGTCAGCGGGGTGCAAAGCAAATGCCCTCCCCGCTGTGCTCTCTCGGCCACCATCCCCACTGTTGAGGGGGAAGCTGAGCCCGTGGACACCTGTGTGCAGAGCGGAAATGACTCCTGGCCTCAGGAGGGAGTGATCCCCAGGGACCTCTTGGGAAGCCCCTGGAGGGGGCCCAGGCCGGGCTGGAGAGGGCCGCTGGGAGGACCCCCGCAGTGCCTGGTGCTGACTGTTCCCGCTCTGCTCCCCAGATGACTGCCCGCCGCCCCCTGCCCCCTTCCCGCACCGCATCGTGGAGCTGAGGAGTGGCAGCGTCAGCAGCGAGTTCAGCATGAACTCCAAGGAGGCGCTGGGCGGGTGAGCGTGGGGCCCTGGGCCGGCGGGGGGCGGGCCGAACCCTGAGCCCCTCGGTCCTCAGACCCCTTGCTGCAAGGAAGGCCAGACGAGGTGACCGCTTTCTCTGACAGCTCAGGCGGACTCCATTGTGTGTCTGGAGGGGGGCAGGGGCGTCACACCTGTCATGCAGTCACCTGCCTGCTGAGGTCCTGCCGGTCCCTCCCTGCCCATCCCAACTGTCCCTCCACTGTCCCTCTCTGTCTCCACTAGCCCAGTGGGAAACACCCCAGTGTCTTCCTGTCTGGCCCAGTTCCGGCACCTCGGCCCTCACCCCACCCCTGGGGGGTTTCCTGCTCTGTTAAAATTCTTTCCTGGGCCCACACAGCTGTCATAGGGGGGTCACCCTTCCACACGCCTCCACTTCCTGTGCCCTGCTTGGCTGCTTCAGCCCTTCACCCAGCGCCTGGCTCGGAACTTCAGGAGGGAGGGGGCGGGCATCAGCACAGCCCCCCTCAGCCCTGCAGCCCCCCCTCACAGTGCACAGCCCCTCAGCCCTGCAGCCCCCACCTCTCACAGAGCACAGCCCCCCGCCCCCCGCACCTGGCAGCCCCTCCACTCCCTGCTTCTCTCCAGCGGCAAGTTTGGAGCCGTCTGTACCTGTGTGGAGAAAGCCACGGGCCTCAAGCTGGCAGCCAAGGTCATCAAGAAACAGACGCCGAAGGACAAGGTGCGTCGGAGGGTCCCCAGAATGGTGCCCCCCCACCCCGTGTCTGGGAGCTGGTGGGTGAATGTTGTGACGGGAAGATGCCGCAGAGGGACAGATGGACAGCAGGCCAAGTCCCGCCCAAGCCTGACCCCTTGGGTAGGAAGCTGATTCCAGAAACTTCCCCTCCTGGCACTGACTCGCCCTGCCCCCGCATGAGATGCTGAAGCTGGAGGTGCAGGCAGGGCCTCTGCGGGGCCTGGGGGGCTGGGGGGTCCTAAAGGGAAGCGCCAAAGAGGAGGCTGGTCCGAGATCTTGTCCCATGTAGCCGCCAGGCCTGTCTGCCGGGAGGCTGAGAGACCACTGTGCTCAGGGGAGGGATGGACAGACACGTGAATGAAAGAGAGGGCTGAACACACGAATGAAGAAATGAACCAACGAAGGGATGAGCAAATGCAGGAATGAAGGAACTAAGGCATGAAGGAGCGAAGGAAGGAAGGAAGGAAGGAAGGAAGGAAGGAAGGAAGGAAGGAAGGAAGTGATGAAAGAATGAAGGAATGGAGTGATGAAGGATGAAGGGACAAGGGAATGAATGAGCATAATAAAAAAAAACAGATAACTAAGTGAAAAAACGAAAGAAGCAATGAAAGAAGGAACAAAGGACTGAGTGAAGAAATGAGTAAAGAAAGGAGTGAAGAAATGAATAAACAATGTAGGGCTGGGTTTTTGGAGCTGGGGGTGAGGGTGAGGAGTGGCGAGGGCCCCTACCAGGGACGTCTCTGCTCAGGGAATGGGGCCGGAGCAGGAGGAGGGGAGGAGGGAAGGAGGGGAGGAGGAGGAGGAGGAGGAGGAGGAGGAAGAGGAGGAGGAGGAGGAAGAGGAAGAGGAAGAGGGAAAGTTTTCTGGTAGCTGAGGCAGGAAAGCGCTTCAGGTGGGGGCTGGGAAGAGGCCTGAGACCCCTGAGGGGGGTGCAGGGCCCAGAGTGAGACTCCGAATGTTCTGGGCCGTGCCAGAGCTCCAACTGACCTGTTTGGTGTCCAGCGTGGGCTCAGCACAAGGGGAGGCAGCGTGTTTCCAGGGGACCCCGCCTGCCCTCTTCCCTCCTTTGGGCCTGGATGCGTCTCTGGGGCCAGTGACGCTGAGGCTGCCATGTCCCGTGCCATGTCCCATGCCATGTCCCTTGGGGAAGGCGGGAGCCGCCAGCACCGATGTCTGGACGGGGGAGAGGGCGAGTGAGCAGAGAGGGGTCCCAGCAAGCAGGACCAGGACGGGAAGGGCCCCGGGCGGAGGGGGCCGGTTCCCGGGCAGACAGGGGGAGACACTGTGGGGCGACAGGCTCCGGGGATGCTAACTGGGAGCCCCCAGCACCGTAGGGGCCAATCTCGCCTCCACAGCCAGTTTCAAGGTCCCACAGTGACCCCAGGGCCACACTTTCTGGAGGTGGCCCCTAGCGTGGGGTTCGGACTGGGCTGGGTCCTGGGACGGAGCCACCGGATGTGGGGCTGAGGAACGAAGCTCGGGTCATGGGGCAGGGGTCCTAGCACATTGCCCTCCGCGCTGGGGGAGAGCGATGTCCTCTGGCCCATGGGCATGTCGGGGCCATCTGCCCAGGGGGACGTGGGGTGTGAGGCATCCAGGGCGCTCCTTAGGAATGAATGGCCACGAGGCAGGCGAGTGGGGTTGCAGGAAGGAGCCCGTTTGGGAGCCCTGCCCTGTAAGATGCATGTCACATCAGTTCGGGGGCTGGAGGAGAGAGGGGGGAAGTGAGGAGGTGGGAGACCGGGGGTCCCCCATCCCGGGGCATGGGAGGAAGGGGCCCGGCGGGACTGTCAGGGGGTTGCTGAGGGCCAGGGGGCCAGGGGGCCCGGTGGGCGGACGGGAGGGAGCACACAAGGACAGCCCCTGCCGGTCCCTGCCCCCAGGAGATGGTGATGCTGGAGATCGAGGTGATGAACCAGCTGAACCACCGCAACCTGATCCAGCTGTACGCGGCAATGGAGACGACCCACGACCTCATCCTGTTCCTGGAGTAGTGAGTGCTGGGGGCCTGGGGTTGGGGCAGGGGCCGGGCCCGGCAGGCCGCAGATGGCTCTGTGCACGCAGCATCGAGGGCGGCGAGCTCTTCGAGAGGATCGTGGACGAGGACTACCAGCTGACTGAGGTGGACACCATGGTGTTTGTCAGGCAGATCTGCGACGGGGTCCTCTTCATGCACAAGATGAACGTGCTTCACCTGGACCTCAAGGTACCCGGGCGACCCCCGCCCCCTCCCTCCCCCACCCTCCTCCCCATGCCCTTCCCCTGCCCTCCTCTTCCCTGCCCTCCTCCTCTCCCACCCCCAAAGGGGCCACTGAGCGCCACAGGCATCCCAGGCTACAAGCAGAGACCGTCCCCCACCTCCAGCTCACCCGGCCTGGCATGAAGCACTTGCCAGGGGTCCCTGTGGTCCCGTGAGGCCCGTGTCTGTCGCCTCACCCAAGGAGGTGTGAAAATGGGACCAGGGGGCTGTTCAAAGGGCCGGGGCGCATCCCCATGTCCTGAGTTTGCTCTCTGGACCAGCATCGTGTGTCCCTGAGCACTGTCAGGTATCACCCCAAAACCAAAAAGGGAGGAGGTTCGAAAGTGTTTGCTGAGTGCTGAGCCCGGGATGGTGCTGGGGATGTTTGTCTGTTTACTCAACACTTTGCTGGAGGCCCCGGGTAGCACAGCCAGTGGGTGTGGGGGCACCAGCTGAAAGGGTGGAAAGAGTGATTGATGATGTCCGGCCAGAGAGACGCTTTCGGGGCTGGAGCACAGGTTGCAGGCAAGAGCCCTGGGGTTGGGTCCCCGACCCCCCCCCATGGTACTGACAGGAGGGTGTGGCCCCTGAACACAAGTGAGTGTGGCCCTCAAACCAAAGAGGAAAAAAAGAGGGAGGAAGGGAGAAAGGGAGCGAGAAAAGAAGGAAGAAAGAAAGGGAGGGAGGAAGAGGGAGAGAGGAAGGAAGAAAAGAAAGAAGGAAGGAGGAAGGAAAAGAAGAAAAGGGAGGGAGGGAGGGAGGGAGGGAGGGAGGGAGGAAGGGAGGGAGGGAGGGAGGGAGGAAGAAAGGAAGGAAGGAAGGAAAGAAGGAAGGAAGGGAGGGAGGGAGAAGGGTAAGGGAAGGGTAAGGAAAGGGAAGAGAAGGTGAATTCCTCACCCTGCTCTGGCCTTGCACTCAGCAGGTCAGAGCGGGCAAATCCACCTCTGCAGCCGGCAGGCCGCACCCCAGATCTGCCCGAGTCTGGGCCATGCTGAGGCCAGCGCTGGGGCTGGCAGACTGTCCTCCAGGCAAGTGTTAGCATTTGGGGGTTGGCGTCCGGGGTCAGGGCCTCGGGAGAATGGAGATGCTTTCCCTGGACGGAGGTGTGCCGGAGCCTCAGGGACCTCCCGCCCCATCCTGGGAGCCAGCAGACCAGTCGGGAGGGGGACTGGCCTCCACAGGCCAGTGGGGAAACTGAGCAGCCAGATGGTTTGAAGTCATCATTGTTACAAAGGACAGGGAGTCCTGGGAGAGACAAGGCGAAGGGCGCAGGCCAGGCTGGAGCAGCGCCGGCAACTCTCCCACTCTCTGTGTGATCGGGAGACAGGAGTTTAAGATGGGTATATAAATCAGGTGTTTCATCCCGATAAAGACTTTTTATTTTATCTTGGGACTTTTTTTGGGAGGTGCGTGGGCACACTCAGTGATACTCAGGGATCACTCCTAGTGGGATTCAGGGACCATATGGGGTGCCAGGGATCAAACCTGGGTCCGTCATGTCCGAGGTAAACACCCTACCTACTGTACTGTTTCCTTGGCCTCCCCAAAGTTGAGGTGATTTTTTTGTTTTGTTGCTTTTTGGAGGTCACACCCGACAATGCACAGGGGTTAATCCTGGCTCTGCACTCAGGAATTACTCCTGGCGGTGCTCGGGGGACCATATGGGATGCTGAGAATTGTACCCGGGTCGGCTACGTGCAAGGCAAACGCCCTACCCGCTGTGCTATCGCTCCAGCCCCTGAATTTTAAGTTTCTGGCTTGAATCTGTGGAGTTCTGCCAGCCCTCTGGAAAAGTCTGTTTTGTTGTTGTTGTTGTTGGGGGGGGGGGATTTAGGGTCCCAATTACAAATACCAGCAGGTCAGAGAGACAGGGGGGTGCTTGATTTTCAGGGCCCCAATCCTGTTTCAATTCCCGGCTCTGCATACGGTCCCCTGAGCGCACAGCCAGGATTAAGCCCTGAGCACTGCCAGGGGTGAGCCAACCCTCCTCATAAAATAAAAGAGAAATATGTAACTCCAGGGGCAGGAGTCATACTAACACCTAAAGTGTATCTTAAAGTGTGAGTGTGTGAGAGAGACAGTGAGAGAGAGTGTGTGTGAATGTATTGTGTGAATGTATGTGTGAGTGTGAGGGAGAGCATGGGTAAGAAAGGAGAGAGCATGAGAGAGAGAGAGAGAGAGCAAGCATGTGTGAGAGAACATGTGTGAGTGAGTGTGTGTGTGAGAGAGTATGTGAGAGAGGGTGAGAGAATGTGTGTGAGAGTGTGTGAATGTGTATGTGAGTATGTGTGTGAATGTGTGCGTGAGAATGAAAGGCATGTTGAAAGTGTGTGAATGTGTGTGTGTGACTGTGTAAATGTGAGTGAGAGTGTGAATGTGTATGGGTGAATGTGCGTATAAGAGTGTGAATTTTTACGTGTGTGTATGAGAGAGAGAGCATGTGTGAATGTATGTGTGAGTGAAAGGTGTGTGAGTGTGAATGTATATGGTGAATGTGTGTATTAGAGAGCCTGTGTGAATGTGTGTGTGAGTGAATTTTTGTGTGTGTATGAGAGAGAGAGAGAGAGAGAGAGAGAAGAGAGTCTGTGTGTGTGTGTGTGTGTGTGAGAGAGAGAAATAGAGATAGAGAGAGAGGGGAGAGAGAGAGAAAGAGAGAGAGTCCGTATTTAGGACAGCTCTCTGTTTTTCATCAGAGAAGGTTGCATGGTCCAGTGAGCCAGGAGAACCATCTGGAACCATGTCCCTGGCGGGGCTTCTCCTGCCTTCAGAGGAGACCCTCGTGTGTCCTGTTTCCCCAAGCCTTTGTGCCCTTCCTTTCCTCAGCCACTAGCATCGTGCTCTGAGTGAATGGAGCAATTCAAAAAGGACCTTAGAAAGTATTTTACAAACGATTCCAAGGCAAAGGTCCAGCAGGCCAGACCACCAACAGGCATTGCAGGATCATGGGGGCTCTGAGGCCCCAAGTCTGGGGCTGGGGAAGCCATGTGGCCTGGTGCCTGCCTTTTCAGGAGGTGCAGAAAATCAGGAAATTGCCATTTTTGTATGAAATCTTCCTTTAGAGCATGGTGAAGCGATTTTAAAGTGCTTCCGAGGGGCTGGAGTGATAGTACAGCGGGTAGGGCGTTTGCCTTGCACACGGCCAGCCCGTGTTTGATTCCTGGCATCCCATATGGTCCCCCGAGCACCGCCAGGAGTAATTCCTGAGTGCAGAGCCAGGAGTAACCTCTGTGCATTGCCAGGTGTGACCCAAAAAGCAAAAAATAAATAAATAAGTAAGTAAAGTGTTTCCGTGGTCCGACTAGGACCGGGTTCCTGATCTGTGAAGAGCAGAGGGAGGCCTGGTGGGAGAGTCTCTCTGACCTTGCAGCAGGGCGTTTGCTCAACCACCGGCCACCCACTGTGTCCAGGGCTGGGATTGAGCCCCTGTGGGTGCCTTTGTTAGACATGGGCAAGGGAGGGCTCCGAGGGATAGTAGAGAGAAAAGCGCTTGCCTTGCCGGCAGCCAGCCCGGGCTCAATCCCTGGCACCCTGTCTGTTTCCTTGAGCATTGCCAGGAGCAAGAAGGCTGCGGGAGAGGGTCCTTGCTTGGGAAGACCCGGCCCCCAGCCCTGAATGTTCTGTGGGTCCTCAGAGTGGCATCAAGGGACCAGGGCTGGATCAGAGTCCTGGTATCAGTCCTGGCCCCACCACCAACTGGTTGGGACACCGGAGCTGTCACTTCTGTGCCTGTGCCTCAGTTTCCCCGGTTGTGAAATGGCGTGTGGACACAGAGTCCCAGGCTCCTCAGTGGGGTGTCCTTCCTGACCGGGAGCACCGTCCAAGGAGTCCAGCTTCCTCTGCGGGCCAGAAGCAGGGTCTTCCCTCCTTGCCTTCTGGGGTGGACTCCAGGCTCGCCCCCCCCACCCCCCCTCCCGCAGACTTCCTCCTCCGAGCCCCTGTCTGTGATGGGCCCGGAAAAGCCTGGTGCTGCCGGTGTCAGGGAGGCGGCCCTGGCAGCCAGCACGGGCCCGGGTGGACCTGGCGGGGAGGGGAGGGTGAGGCGGGTCAGAGGCCAACCCAGGTCACCCCCTTCTCCTCAGCCAGAGAACATCCTGTGCGTCAACACCACGGGCCATTTGGTGAAGATCATCGACTTCGGCCTGGCACGGAGGTACCCCCTGGGTGGGTGGGGAGGGCCGGGCGGGGTCGGGGTGGGGTGGGCAGGCGCAGGGAGGCGCGGCGGGCGGCGGCGGAGCTGAGCGGGCGGCTCTCACCTGCAGGTACAACCCCAACGAGAAACTGAAGGTGAACTTTGGAACCCCCGAGTTCCTGTCACCCGAGGTGGTGAACTACGACCAAATCTCCGATAAGACGGACATGTGGAGCATGGGGGTCATCACTTACATGCTGTGAGCCCCCGGGGGCTGGCGGTCGTGGGCTTGGGGAGGACTGGGGCAGGTGGGGGTGTGGGGGGAGGCCAAGCTGGGCCTGGGGGTCTTGCTGAGGTGGATGCCCCCCCACCAGCTCACACTCTTCCAGCCAGGGCTTTGCAAAGGGTCTGGGAGTCTGAGGGAGAAATAGGAACGGGGAGCTTTGTACCCATTTTAGAGTTGGAGAAATCAAGGCCTCTAAAGGCGGAGCGTGCCAGCAGCCCTGGACCTTGGACAGCAGATCTCCGCTGAGCCTGGGAGGGAGGACGGAGGGTCAGGGACGATTTTTTTTTTTTGCACTCATCATTCCTCTTCTTCACTGTAACCCTGGGAAGCTGGGATACTTGCGCCCATTTTACAGATGAGAAGAGTGAGGCTCAGAGAGGGGAAGTGACTTGCCCAAGGTCACCCAGCCAGATTCAAAAGCCAGGTCTGTCCCACTCGGGCGGCTGGGGGTCTTCTCGGCACACGGTGCTGCCTCCTAGGATCCGTGCCCACCACCAGTCACCCCCTCACCGCTCTGCCCTCTGTCCCGCTCCCTGCAGGCTCAGTGGCCTGTCCCCCTTCCTGGGCGACGACGACACGGAGACACTGAACAACGTGCTCTCTGCCAACTGGTACTTTGACGAGGAGACCTTCGAGGCCGTGTCGGAGGAGGCCAAAGACTTTGTCTCCCACCTGATCGTCAAGGACCAGGGGTGAGGCTCGCCCCGGGATGCCAGCCCTGCGTATGCCGGCTGGGGGCGGGTGGGGGCTCCCTGGCACACTGCTCACCCTCCCGCCATGCCCCTCCCTCAGGGCCCGCATGAGCGCTGCCCAGTGCTTGGCCCACCCGTGGCTCAACAACCTGGCAGAGAAAGCCAAACGTTGCAACCGACGCCTCAAATCCCAGATCTTGCTTAAGAAATACCTCATGAAAAGGCGCTGGAAGGTACTGCAGCCTGGGGGAGGCTCGGGGCGGGGGTGGGGGAGGGCTGCAGGGTGAGAAGGGTGGCTGGTCCTGGCCCAGGCTCACCAGCACGCACTGGGCAGGTTCTGTCCAGCAGGCCAAGGAACTGGAAAACGGGGCTCACTCTCTGTCTCTGCCATGGCTGGCAGCAAGCCCCAGGGGGCCGCAGAGCGGGGGGGGGGGGGGGCTCAGGGCGAGGTCTCTGGCCCTTCTCAGGCGGCCTCCCTTCCCTCCACTGCTTGCAGGCCTGGGGGAAGCAGGACACACACACACACACACACACACACACACACACACACGGGTCAGGGGCTCAGACTCTCTGGGTGGGGGCTGGGTAGTTATTAAAAGCTATCAACAAAGGCTCTGGACCAAAACAAATCAGTTAGGTCCAGGGGAGGGGGAGTGCTCGAAATAAGGTGGCCAGCCAGTGCAAAAGCCCTGGGGCAGGTGCTGGACTGGGAGCTTGAGAAACAGGCTGGGATGGGGTAAGCTGGGGTGGAGGGTGGGGGGGGGGAGACAGGGTGGGGAGAGACACGGCAGACGTGGGAGGGGCTTGTCTTTTCCTTGGAGGTACTGAAATGGGAGCCCCTGGCATCGTGGTGGTGTCCTGGCACTGCTGGTGGTTGTTCTGGGGACAGCCCTGCCCCTTTCCTGCTGTCTGGGCCCTGGGGGATAGACGGGGACCTGGTCCCTGCACCACTGCCAACCCCCTCTCCCTCCACCCCCCCGCCCTGCTCCCCTCCAGAAAAACTTCATCGCCGTCAGCGCTGCCAACCGCTTCAAGAAGATCAGCAGCTCAGGGGCCCTGATGGCGCTGGGGGTCTGAGCCCCCCCGGGGCAGCTGGAGCCTGGACGCAGCCACATGGGGCCCGGGGCTGAGGCCACACAGTCCCGCAGGCCAGAGCGGATGGCCGGATCCCCAGCGCGGCCTGGCCAGGACAAGGCAGCGCCAGGCTGGGAGGCTCGGGGCTCCCCACGCCCCCACGCATGGACCGCTTCCCCCGACAGAGACGCCTCGGATGTGGCCCGAATCCATCCCGCTAAAGCCTCCTGGGTGGGGGCCCTGGACCTGATGTTCGCTCCGACCCCCAGCTGTGGCGCGCCCGGGGACACCCCAGCCCCGGCCTGGGCACGCTCCCGGCTGGGGTGGGGGAGTGGCGGGGGCACTCAGCACATCGGGCTGCTGTGGTTCGGGGCAGGAGGACTCGGGGCAGGGCAGGAAGGCAGCCAGGCCCTCCTGAGTCCAGCTGGCAGGGGAGACAGAGGCGGCTTTGTGCGGAGGGCCTCGAGCCCCCGCCCGCGCCCCACGCCCAGCAGATAAGGCCCCCGCGCGCGAGCACCATCTGGCCCGGGCCTGGCCCCCGCCCACCTTCCTCGCGACCACCAACACACAGGAACTCGGTGTGAGAGAGCACGGACGCCCAGCCCGGGCTTGGGGGAGTGGGGAGGGGACGGCCCAGGGGACTCGGGAGACCACCCCCAGTCTTGCCCGAGGGCCAAGCCACTCTGGACCTTTCTCCCGGGGTGACCGTGGGGGTCAGCGGGCCCAGGAGGAGCGGGACGGCGGCGGGGCAGCCCCCAGCCTGCTCTCAGCTTGTGCCTTGTAAATAAATGTACAGATCTGACGCGGCCCCTTCCCTTCTGCGCCCGTGCAGGGGTTGGGGGGGGGTGTCTCCCGGTGGGCACGGGGCACTTCAGGGGGGCTGGTTTCTGCACAGTGTGGGACTTGCTCACCCAACCTCGGGGCCCGCACTGAGGGGCAGGGCGGGGTGGGGCTCCCCCACCTTGTGTCTCAGTTTCCCCATTGGCCAGAGGAGATCACAGCGTGGGTCTGCGTGGATCGGGCAGTTACCAAGCGCTGGGCCCGCTTCCCGTGCTGGGTACTCTGAACGCACCAGGCAGATGTTATCATCCCTATTCCTGTTTGACGTGGGGAAACTGAGGCTCCGAGGGGGCACACCCCCCAGCACAGCAGGCACGGGGTCTGGGATGGATGTCTCTACCTGCCGCCCCTCCCAGAGCGAGGGGAACACGTTGCCGGGCGCGGGGCTGAGCAGAGCCTCAGAGGGGCTTCAGTGATGGGCTGGGGGGCTGCTCTCTGCCCCTTCCTGTTGGCCGCAGACCCTCGGCCCTGGCTGCTGTGTGCTGGGGGGAGGGGACCATTGCTGCTGGAGGGACCACCCCTGAGGGCAAGAGCGCTGAGCCCTGAAGGACCAGAACCTTCCTGGCTGTGAGACCACTCGGTCAGCAGGAGAAGCTGGCTGAAGAGGGGCGGCTGGGCCACTCGTGGGAGGCCTTGGGGTTCCAGAAGGTTCAGCATCCACGGAGGCCGGGACAGCTCACGGTGCCCCCACGTGGCGGGCCCGGCAGTGCCCTGGGCCACACAGCCCCGGTGGTGGCAGGGCAGGGGCCGCACCTCCTGGGGAGACCCCTTTCCCACGCAGCCCCCTGCCGCGCTGTGGACATGCCAGAGAATCCAGACCTGCCCTCCCGGCCGGGGCCGCGGCCAAAGCTGGTGGGTGCAGCATCCTTGGGGTGGGGTGGGGACGCTGGGGTCTGAGCCTGGCGGGCTGCCGTCGGGCTCGGGGGACCCTGCTTGGACTCTTGCATCTGGGCAGGGCCCCCGCCCGCACGCCACCTGCCAGCTGGGCCCACCCCCTCCTCCTGGCTGGCCCCCCGCCCAGGCCGCCCCGGCCGCCTGGCCACACAGCGCGCTGACGAGGATGAGTCACCACGGAGCCATGGGGGAGGAAGCGAGGTCCAGCCAGAGCGGAGACCCGGGGTTGGGATCCCGCCGGGGAAACCAAGGCCAAGACAAGACAGGACCCTCCACAGAGACCGTGAGGCCGGGGACCAGACGCCAGGGCTCCCAGGACCCTGCATTCGCGTCCACTTCCCCCTCTCTAGGACAAATCCCCCCCCCCCCCGCCACCCCTCAGCCCTGCTCTCTCCTGCCACAGTGAAGAAAGGGGAGAGGGGCGTCCTAAACCACAGGCGAGGAAACTGCCTCAGAGAGGGAGAGTGACTAGCCCCAGGTCACACAGCAAACAGACATATATCCAAGACATATATCCAAGTGCAGCCCGGAACCAGGTAATGGGGAGGTCACTGTACCTCCACAGACCCTCATGAAACATGGCTTAGAAAGTTCCTCTGGGGGATTAGTTTTGTTTGGGGGAGGGGGCTACACCCAGAAGCACTCAGAGTTTACTCCCCCTAGCTCTAGGGAGACCTCAAGAGCTAACCCAGGATGAAGAGGTGCAATAGCAGAGGCCCTGCCCACTGTCCTCTCTCTCCGGCCCCTCGAAGGTTCCCTCTGATTTATCGCGTGCCTCCTTTGGTCTGTGCTGGTCCTCGGAGACGCAGGATGGCCTCCACACTGCACCTGCATCTTGTGGGTTCAAGAGCTTCGGTTCCCCCGAAGGGACATGAAGACCCCACAGGGAGACGATGGGGTGCAGCCCCTGGATTGGGGTGAGCATCTCTCTTCCTGCAGCCTGGGTGCCTGCCCAGGGCCTTTCCAGAGCCCTGGTGTTTGGCACCTCTGGGGGAAAAGCAGCCTGAGCCTCTGGCATCCTGGTGGAGGGATGGGTGTGTCTGCCTGGGCCCGCCCCTTCCCGCCAAGGACCGGTCCTGCAGCTCCCCAAGCCCTGAGTGCCAGCCTGTGAGTGTCCCCAGCCCCGTGCTGGGTGTGCCCCACCCACCGCTCAGCCCCTGAGGACCTTCCCTGGAGGTGCTCCGAGCCCCTCCCCACCCCGGGACCAGGCCCCCCAGCCTCCCTGTGCCTGGTGCCCGGTGCGGGCGCCAAAGGGTTAAGCCAGTTGGTGGGACCTTTCCTCCCGGCTGGTCCCAGCCTGAGAACCTTCCTCCAAGGCAACTTCCGGCCTCTGGGCCTGGGCCAGGCCCACAGTGACCACCCCCATGGGTCTGAGGCCACATCTGGTTTGGATTAGCCAGGGCTGGTGACGCTGCCTTTTCCTGTCTGCATCCAGTGGCCTTGAATTCCTTGGACCCAACGGGGCAGCGGTGGGAAAAGACTCAGCCTGGGACAGGCTCTCTTCTGCCCGCCAGGGAGGGGGCATCTCCGTGGCTGGCACGGACAGGGAGGGCACGGTGGGGGGCACAAGGTGTTGGCTGGCACTTCTGCCAGGGGGCGCCGGAGGCAGGGTGGCCGGTGCGACTTCGGTTACCTCCCATCACAGGCTGGTTGAATCCCAGCCCTCCTGGCCCCCGCTGGAGCCTGGAGATGATTTGGCCATCGTGCCTGCGGGGAGGGGTGGGGGTTGGCTGTGGAGGCCTCCGGAACCCCAGCGGGTGGGAGGTCGGGATCAGGGTGAGGCAGGAAGGAAGGACCTGAGAGGGGGCCAGGACCCCAGTGAGAGTGACATGAACTGAGAGCAAGTGAGGAGAGTTGTTTTCCGGAGAGAGGGAGGGGGGCGTCCAGGGCAGAGGGGATCGGAGAGAGGATCGCATGTTCCCAGCCTGGGAACCGACAGCCAGCATGTCTGGGCCCTTTCTTTGCAGACAGTAGGAAAGAGGAAGTTGGTCTGGGGGGGGTTACTGGGGTCTCCAAGGCTAGACCAGAGAGTCCCAAACTTATCTGGCTGACTCTAATCATCCCCCTTCTCGGAAGGAAAATGACCCTGAAAATGTGCCATTGAAAGCAAGCAGGTAGCGAAGGTGCCCAGTTGCACCTGAGGCTGCAGGTTCCCCCCCCTCACCCTGCCCTGCCCCCATAATGGAGCAGCGTCGCCCACCTTGGGGAAGATCCGGCTACACTCACTGGGACAACAGGGAGTCACAGGAGGTTTTCGAGCAAAGGAGGGTCGTAGTCCAATGTGTGGTTCAGACTCCTGCAGCCACAGAGACCAGAGGGAGGGGCCCATGTCCACTGGTGCGACTGCCGACACCGTGGACTCAGGGTCAGGCGCCCGCAAGGTCACAGGCTGAGACGCGACTCTCCTCAGAGCAGGCTCCAAACCCTCTCCCCCCCACCCACCTTTGAGCTGCAGCTTCTGGTCCGTAGCAGTCGTGCCAGCCTCCCAGACTCGGGGCGAAGGTTAGCTGAGCTGTGTCATAGGGTATCTGGCACGGGAAACTGGGATTTTGTTGGTTATCACACCCAACAGTGCTCAGGACTTCCTCCTAGCTCTGTTCTCAGGGTTGACTCCTGGCAGGGTTCAGGGGGCCCTGTGGGGCACTGGGGGTTGAACCCAGGCCGGCCACAGGCAAGGCAGACACCCTAACCGCTATACTATTGCTCTGGCCTCTAGGTCTGAATTCTTTTTTTTTTTCCTTTTTGGGTCACACCCGGCGATGCACAAGGGTCACTCCTGGCTCTGCACTCAGGAATTACCCTTGGCGGTGCTCAGGGGACCATATGGGATGCTGGGAATCGAACCCAGGTTGGCCGCGTGCAAGGCAAATGCCCTACCCGCTGTGCTATTGCTCCAGCCCCTAGGTCTGAATTTTACTTCTGTTTATAATAAGTGCTTTGGCAGGGGCTGGAGGGGTAGCACAGCTGGCAGGACACTTGCCTTGCACGTGGCTGACCCAGGCTCAGTCCCGGGCATCCCATATGGGCTTCTGAATCCTGCCAGGATTCATCCCTGAGCACCGCCGGGTACCGCCTCCCCACCTCCCAAGAATAAAATCGGCGCTTTCTGTTGCTCCCCCTTCCATCCTTCACTGTGGTTGCCAGGGAGCATGCGCACACTTGGCTACACCTGTACACTTGCTCACAGGGTCCCCTGTTCGAACGGAGACGCTCACACACGCGCCGTTCCCACGCACTTGGTGGCTGTGTGTAGGGCAGGATACACACTGTGGCAGTGCCCATGTCCGGGGGGGTGGCGGTGGCCCCAGGGGTCAGACTCTCAGCCTAGCGCCCCTGCAGTGCTCAGAGCTGCCCCCCTCCCCCCCATCCTTGCCACCTGACCCATGTTTTGTTTTGTTGTGTGTTGCTTTGTGCCACACCTGGCTCTCTCCTGTCTCTGCACACAGGAATTAACTCCTGGAGGTTGAACCCGGGTGCCAGGCAAGTGCTCTACCCTTTAGACTATCTGTCCAGCCCCTATCTAGTCACTCCTATTTCTGCTGAGGAAGAAACAGGACTCAGAGGGGATACATTCACTTATTCCATGTCACACGGCAAGGAAGTGGACATGTGGGGGACTGAATCCCAGTCTTGTCTATAGAACTTCTGGACACTCCCTTGGGGGTAAATCAGGTTAAGGGGACGCGTCCCCAGAGCCAGGTAGCTCCTTCCCTTAGTAGCACTCAGAGCTGTCCACCTGTTGGACCCGTTCTGAGAGGACAGAAACCTGCAGGGTCCTCAAGCCCAGTTCTGGGGCAAGGGACTAGGTCCCATAGTTCACAGCACAGAGAGGAGAGCAACTGGCCGGGCCACCCCACCAGCAAGCTGCAGAACAGAAGCCGGGGCAACACACCCAGCGCTTCTGCCCCGGGGCGCTCCATCTCCACCTCTGCGGCCCCTGCGGCTTGGGTGCTGGGGGGGGGGGGGGGGGCTGCGGTATCCCGGAGCCGAGAGCTTGGGCCAGGGCCTGGATTCCTGAGCTCTGTCCACTCCCGCCGGCAGGCCTGCCCAGCAGCCAGCATGGCCTCCCCCGTCTCCTCATTACAGCTCGGCCTTGGGGCGCCCCACCCTGTGCAGGAGAGGGCCCCCCGCCCCTGGCCCGGGCGCAGTCTGGGCCGTGGCAGGAGCGTGGGGCTGTGGGCAGTGGAATGCCTGGACGGGGAAGGAAGCAGTGGGCGGAGGGGGGTGGGAGATAAGAGCTGGGTGGAGGCTGGAGGTCCAGAGAGGTGGCCTGGCTGGGGGTGGGGGTGGGGGGGAGAGAGGGAGGTGGGGGGTATGAAGGGGGTGGGGGCGGGGGCCGGGAGTGCACCCCACCCTCCACGCCTGCAGGTGAGCTGGCCCACATTCTCTGGGAGCTGCCGGCCCCTTTTCCCGGAACCGTGTGCTCCCCGCTCCTCCGCAGAGAGGGGCTGCAGAGGCCGGGCAGGAGACGCCCCGCACACGGTGCCAAGAATCTGAGCGGCCACGATTCAGAGGGGAATAGCTGAGCCAGAGCCGCTGCCAGCAGCCTCGGTTCCCACTTTCCCGATGCCTGCAAAGCCCAAAGAGTGCCCTGGGTGCTTGCACGGGCTGGCGGGGGGTGGGGGGGTGGGGGTGGGGGTGGGGCTGAGGGGCCCGGGCCCTCTGCTGAGAGCCGCAGCATGAACGAACGAAGGCAGCCGAGGTCCGTGCTTCTGCTGGGGCCTTGCTGTGTGCCTTTGCATCAGTCACTTACCTTTTCTGGTCTCGGTCTCACCGTCTGAGTCGAGATGCTCTCTCTGGCTCAGCTCGGTTTAGGAGTTGAGAATTTCCCCAAGAGCTCTGTGCCACACCCCCCCCCCAACCCCTCCGACCCAGCATACATCCCCACCCCTGCCCAGGTGGGGGTGGTCGGGCTGAGCCAGAGGGTGTCTGCTGCTTGTGGAAAGAATGTGAGGGCAGGAGGCCCAGAGGGTGGGGTCCCAGGCCGGACAGCACCGAGGGCAGCGTGAGATTACGTCGTCTGGGGCTCCTGCCCAGCCCCTCTGGGGAGGGTGGGGGGGGGTCTCTCCAGGCCACGCCCCCAGGTCAGAAACAACCACCTGTCCCCTGTCTCCTGGGGACCCAGTCTGTCCCGCCCTCCCTGAGGGCCAGGCCGTCCCCCTTCCGGCTGCCGTAAGCCCCCACCCTGCAGGTCTCTGCTGGGCCCAGGACAGGCCCCGTCCAGCCCTTGGCATCGTGCAGGCCCTGCACCAGGCCTGAGTTGCAGCGGGCAGGGAGTGCTGGACCCTGTCCTCTCCTGTTGACTAGGGAGGGGGTCCGACGGGAGAATGAACAGTGTGGACAATGTGGGCCGCTGCTCTTGACTGACCCTCCCTGTGTCCCCCAGGACAGGATGTGTGTGTGGCGGGGGGCGGTGGGGGGCGCAACTTTGTCCTGGCTAAGCCCCCCACTCCAGTTAACGTGCTGAGCTGTCAGACGGTGAGCAGGGCAGGAAGCAGGGCCAGCCTCCCCGTCCTCTGAGCGGGTCAGGCGGGAGGGGACTGGGGTCACCAGGTCTCCCCAGGAATGCGCCACAGGAAGCAGTGCCCGACAGAGGCCTCTGTCCCTGACGCAGCTGGGGAGGAGCCCCAGTCCTGTCTGTCTGTCCGTGTGACCCCCCCCCCCCACAGGTCCACAGGCCCACACGCCATGGACAGGCCCACCCTGCCCCAGCCCTCCCCGCCCCGGCTCTCCATGGGGTCCCAGTCTGGGATTCAGAGGGTGCAGTGGGGACCCCACCATGGGCCAGGCTGTCCCCCTCTTCCGGCTGCCGTGAGCCCCCACCCTGCGGGTCCCCATCCACCCCGCTGGAGTCTGTGGGAACCAGACAACCGGGGCTGCCCAGCAGACTTGCTTCCTCCCCAGCCCCAGGGGACCCGGCGGGGGAGGGGCCGGCCCTGCGGCTGGCCATGGCGGCCTGCCCGGGCCGGGGCCCCTAGAGAGGCCTGGGCTGCCTGCCTGGCCCCCGGCCCCCCTGGGTGTCACCCCGTGAGACTCAGGCCCCCTCCAGGCCCCTCGGCCCCAGACCAGAAAGAGGGGTCTCTGCCTGTCTCTGGGCCCCCTCTCTGCTCCCTGCCAGCCCTGGCGTAGACCAGGGAGGGGAGGTTTGGGAAGAAGGATGTTTGTTTGCCTCCACGCCGTTGGTACTGGGGATCAGGGTGGTTCAGACCCCTCAGGTCTGGGCCAGAGAAGACCATGAGCCATCCAAGGTCACACTGTCACTTCTCACCTGCCCTCACCCGGCAGCACCCAGCCTCCCCCGCTGAGAGTCACCCAGGCCATCCGGGGAGCTGTGTGTGTGTGTGTGTGTGTGTGTGTGTGTGTGTGTGTGTGTGCGCGCGCGCTGGGTGGCGATGGCAGATAGGAGGTCGGGGCTTGCCTTTCGGGCCTGGTGCTCCACGCCCCCCTTCTAGGGGTCACTAGCTCCCCTGTGACCCCGTGTCCTCAACCAAACTGTAGCTCGGGGGTGGTGGGGAGTCTCCGAGCTCTGCTTTCCATTTCCTCCTGCCACTCAGAGCCGGCTGAAACAGGCGGGGGGAGGGAGGGGGGCGGTGAGCCCCAAACCCTGAGCCTCCCAGGCCCTGCCCCGGGAAGGGCTGCTGCCACATGGGGCGCAGGGAGCGGACGTGGCCAGCTGTGGGGCACAGCGTCACCGCCCTCCGTGTGGACCCCGTGTAGTTCATCCCTGCTGCAGTCATGGTTTGGGACAGAGGGACCTCTGCCCCCGTGGCCTGGGTGGGGGTGTTCATGGCGGGGGTCCTCCTCTCCCCTGCCCCCCTTCCTCTGTCTCCCTGGGAAACTCCCCAGAAAGTCCCCAACTGGAGAAGGGATCACGAGGGACACTTGCATCTGGGGTCCCCTGAACACCCCACCACCCCGCCCCCGAGAGTCCCCAATCAGCCAGCAAGTGGACCCTGAGGATCACATCAACTTTATTGGCCCCGAGAGGCGCAGAGCAGACTTGCCAGGGGCCCCGCGCCCTCACCCCCAAGTCGCCCCTCCAGTCTTGGCTTCTTGTCCCGGGGCCGTCGGCTCGCCAGAGAGAGGTCCTCGGAGGGCTCCCCGGAACCCGGAGCCAGGCGCGACCTGGCAGGAGCTGCCCAGGGCCAGGCCGGCTTCATTCAAAGAAGAACATTCCTGGTGTCCGGTAGAGGCAGGGTGGCAGCCCCAGTGGGTAGCCAGAGCCTCCCTGGACAGGGAAGCCTCCGGCCACCCAGGATTCTTTGGGGTCAGCTGGCAGGGGCAGGGGGGCTCGGAGCGAGGCTGGCGGGGTGGGGGGCGCCGGAGAGGGGGCTGCTGAGGCCAAGAGGTGCTCCAGGCCCGAGTCGCTTCCCACGCAGAAGTTCAGCGTCTGCAGCCGGCACTGGTAGCTGCTCGCGATGCCCGTTTCGGGGGCCAAGATGGGCGTGGGAGTCTTGCCGAAACCCTCAGCCTCGGAGAAGCCCGCGGGAAAGCCGAACGCTGGGCAGGGGGATGGCGAGGTGCCCACGGCGAGCTCCCCGGGACCCGCGGGCTTGGGGGTGGGCATCTCCTTGGGCTCCGCCAGAGGCCGAGACCTGCTGTCAGTGGTTGCCGGGCACAGGGGCCCTGGCAGAGACCCCACCAGGCCCCCGAAGCCGAGGCCCTTAGGCTCGGGCAGCTCCAGCGGGAAGGGGCACTGCCTTCCCGTCGCGGTGCCCGGGGCACCTGCGTCCTGGCTGCCGGCTCTGCCGGCGCCGCGGCGCGCCTTGGCAGGGCCCCTGGTGCCCTCGGTGCCCGCCCGCCGGGTGAAGCGGCGGCGACGGCGCAGGAAGCTGCCGTGCTCGAACATGTCGTGGCAGTCGGGGTCCAGCGTCCAGTAGCTGCCCTTCCCGGGCTTCCGGTCGTCGCGGGGCACCTTGACGAAGCACTCGTTGAGGGACAGGTTGTGGCGGATGCTGTTCTGCCAGCCGGGCCGGTTGTGGCGGTAGAAGGCGAAGCGGCCCATGATGTAGCGGTAGATGCCGCTGAGCGTGGCCCGCTGGCCCGGCGAGCTCTGGATGGCCATGGCGATCAGGGCGATGTAGCTGTAGGGAGGCTTGGTGGGCTCAGCCGCGGGGGCCGGGGGCCCGGGCGGGGGCGGCTGCTGCATGCTGGCCGGGCGGGCTGGGCTGCGGCGGCTGGGACCACAGGGGCCGGGCAGGGCGTCCAGAGCTGGCGGCCGGCACAACTGCCCGGCTGGTTAAAAGGCCCACTGGCCCAGCCTCCCAGCCTGGAAAGGCAAAAAGGGGTGGGCCCCGGCTCGGCTGCCCTCCCTTTCCTCCCTCGCCCCCTCCCTCGAGGCCCAAGAGGGGCGGGCAGGAGAGGCCTGGAGGGGGTGGCTGAGAGCAGCCGCCAGGGGTGAAGAGAGGGGAGGGCAGGGACGAGGACGACGGAGACCCCCAGCCCTCATGCTAACGGGCTGCGTGCTGGTAGCTGGGAGCTGGGACAGGATGTGAGGCAGTGGGACAGAGATGGGACAGAAAACAGACAAACAGGCAGGGGAGGGGGAAGAGAGAGAGGGAGGAGAGAGAGAGGGAGAGAGAGAGACACAGAGAGAGAGAGAGAGAGAGAGAGAGGGAGAGAGAGAGACAGAGACAGAGAGACACAGAGAGAGAGGGAGAGAGAGAGCAGAGGGAGCAGAGGCAGAGACATAAAAAGAGGGGGCAAAAAGCAAGCTGAGGTCGAGGCATGCAAGACAGGAAACACACACACACACACACACACGCGCAAACGCACACGCACACACACACGCACACGCACACGCACGCGTGGATCGGAGGCAGACCAGACCCATCCAGAGCCATGCAGAGAGAAATAGTATACAGAAGGTTAGAATCACCGAAGCACAGATGGGACAGAGAGAGATCAGAGACGCAGACACGGGGAGGGAGGGAGAGGCAGAGAGAGCGAGAGCCCCCAGGCTTCTCAAGGCCCCCCTGGCTCCCCGCCTTCTCACTCGGTGCAGAGCCGGCAGGCCACCCTATTCCCAGGCCTCCTCGCAGTGGGTGTTCGCCGGACGGCTGCCCGCTGGCCAGGAAGGCTTCCTGACCCTTTCTGCCGAGCCCCAGCGCCCTCTAGTGTCCTGCGAAGGTAGGGCAGCCACCCGTCCAGACTTCAGCAAGTCCCTGTCTTGGTGTGAGCCCCAGTTTCCCCTTCTTGAAAGTGGAAACGGGGACCCCTCAGCTGTCTGGGCCATGGCAAGGAGCACTGGGATCCCTTACAGAAAGAGAGTCCCTGGAGAGTTGCACACAGAGAAAAGCAGGGTAAGGCTGTGGCTCTGGACTGCAGGGTGGGGTGGGAGGGCTCTATCTCTGAAGACTGCAGCCTTGGGCTGGGGGACCACCAACCCGGCACAGCTGGGCCTTCTGATAGAGGCTCAGCCTCCTCTAGCCTCTCCCACCCCCGAGGAGGGATGTTGGCCAGGCAGCGAGTGTTGCCACTCGACGAAGACCAGCTTCCTGCGCCCTCCTCGGGATGCCTTTGACCCACTGCACCAGAAAGCCGGTTTATTCGAGAAGCACAAGAGGAGACAGAGCTCATGAGTCACAGCACCAGGATTTGTATCTGGATCCTCTACCTCCTTTACACCACCCCCTTTTGTGAGGAGTAGGGATGGAACAGCCCTGAGATACACACACACACACACACACACACACGCACACACACACACACACACGCACGCACGCACGCACATGCTGAAAAAAGTGACTGTGAGCCCCAAGGGAGTAAGGACCTTGCTCTGCTCTAGCAGTTCAGTACTAGACTGGAACAGAGGAGAAGCTCAAAAAATATTTTCTGAATGAATGAAAAAAAATTAAAGATCCAATTGACCTGCATCTTCTGTTGGATCAATGCTCCCTGATAAAAAAAAGGCTAAGAGAAGTATTAGATCGTCACCTGAGTTATCTTTATTTCACTTTTGTTTTTTGGGGGACACACCCAGCAATGTTCAGGTGTTACTTCTGGCTCGGTGCTCATGGCAGTGCTTGGGGGCCCATATGTGGGGAAGGGGACGGAACCTTAGTCGGCCACATCAAAGTAAGCACACTACCCGCTGTACAATCTATTGCTCCAGCCTAAAACACCCGAGGCTAAGCTCAGTTGGGCTTACTTTTGGCTCTGCACTCAGGAATTACTCCTTGCGGTACTGGGGATGGGGACCTTGTTTCCTGTTTCACTGTCCCCCCCCCGCCCTGTTGCTGGAGATGGAATCCCAGGTGGGGCACATGCAAGGCAAATGCCCTGCCTGCTGTACTATCTCTCCGGTCCCTTATTTCTAATAGGGGCTACCCCCGCAGTGCCGGAGGGGCGTGATGCCCAGGATCACACCTGGCGATGTTTGGCCTGGAAGTGGGACCTTCAGTGCTCAGTCTGGGTAACGCAATGTTGCTCAGGCCATGGTGCTCAGGGCCACGAGGGTCATATTCAGTTTGGGAGTTTGAAGGTCTGCGTCAGTTTCTCCAAAGATGGTCTGGGCAGGCACCAAAGGTCGCATCCTCGTTTTAGAGTTTAAGTCTTCTGTTTCTTTTGTTTGTTGGTTTGGTTTTTGGGCCACACTAGGCGATGCTCAGAGGTTACTACTGGCTCTGTACTCAGGAATTACTGTTAGTGGGGCTCGAGGGACCATATAGGGTGCCAGGGATCAACCCCAGTCCAGTCACATGCTAGGCAAATGTCCAACCTGTTCCCGTTGCACTATCTTTCTGGTCTTTAAGTCATCTGGTGTTGAAAACCCTTCCCACCATACCCCCAAAGAGAAGAGACTTGTGGGAGGTGGGAGGGAGGGTCTGGAAATCCAGAGACCCTCCTCCCCACACACATACACAGAATACTCTGCCAGTAGGTGGCCCCCTCCAAACAGCCCTGAGGAGCTGACTATTGCTTGAACTCACTGCTGACTGCGGTACTGAAATTTGGGTGAAGCCACAGTCAAGTAAGAGCCCCACAGGGCACAGCGGTACCACTTTGTTATTCAGCAAATGTGCTCATGGGCTCCGGGGCAGGAAAGGCATGAGCGAGAGTGGCGTTCTACAGCCTTTCCGCATCTGCAGGTGGTGCTTGTCGTGCGGCAGCTGAAGGCCAGGCCATCCCGGCGAGGCCCCCAGAGATTGAGTCTTGTTTCCTCACCAGCAGTTCCCGGAACCTCCAGTGTAGCTGCCATTTCTGCCTGAGGAGCCGGGCCCAGGCCCAGGGCCAGTCTACCCGCTGCTGAGCTGTCAGAGGTGGGGGCTTCCACTGTCCCCCTGACCTGGGCCATGTGCGGTGAGGGGTTCCCTGGTTGCTGGCATGATGTGGGCAGGGCTGCAGGTAGTGTCAGCGGCCCGCTGCGCTGGGCACACTTGAGGGAGAGAGGCTGAGCTGGGCAGGGGGACTCTGAAGGACAGTCTGAGAGGAGGAAGCGGCTCTTCAGGCTGACTCGGCTGCAGACTCCGGGCCACAGAGCCCCCTTGGTTCAGACCCTTGGAACGAAGGAGGAGTTCTCGGGCGAAGAGGGGTTCCACCTGTGGGTGCAGGCGGTGAGCCAACCCTCTGTGGCACCCACCCCTGCACCCACCCTGAGCTTCCTGTGGAAATTGAAGCCCCCAAGGTAACTTATGTGCAGAGGCACAAACCATAGAACCTGCCAGCCTGCTGGGCTGGGGACCGTGAGGGACAGTCTGACAGGAGCTGTGCTGGGGGACTGTGACACAGTCTGTGACAGGGGCTGGACTGGGGACGGTGATGGACAAGGCTGACCGGGGCCGGCACGTGCAGTCGGCAGCTAGAGTGGAACTGACTCACGTGAACCATGATCAGCCGCTCCTCAGGCTGGCCCGGGGGCCCCGGGTACTCCTCCCCAAAGCACAGTCGGATCTTGTATTCGGGCTCCGGGCAACCATCCAGCAAGTGGGCATGCAGTTCTATGGCATGAGACAGCGGGTGTTGGACCCAGATGGGTATCCTACATGCCCCAGTGCCCACCTTGTGCACATAACCCGTGCCATGCCCTATAATCCCACCCTCACTGTGTGCCCAGGCCTTGCACCTACTTGCCGTCCTGATGCCTGTCTCGGGGGCCCATTTATGAATCGCCTTCAGCACCCAAGCTCCATGTCCTGTGCCCCTTTGCCCCAGCATTCTCTCTCTCTCTCTCTTTTTTTTTTTTTTTTTTTTTTTTTTTGCTTTTTGGGTCATACCCGGCGATGCTCAGGGGTTACTCCTGGCTTTGCACTCAGGAATCATTCTTGGCGGTGCTCGGGGGACCATATGGGATGCTGGGAATCGAACCCGAGGTGGCCACATGCAAGGCAAACGCCCTACCCGCGGTGCTATTGCTCCAGCCCCCCCCCCTCAGTATTCTCTTATGCCCACTCCATATCTACTGCCACTCTGTGCCTGGTAGTGGCATACATTGCTTGTGCCTGACCCGACACCCACATTAGGCTTAGTTTTCTAAGCCTACCCACGTGCCCATGCCCGATACTGGCTGCCCACCCCAGTGCCAGACTCCTGTTCACTTCCGGATGCACCTGCCCCAGACCGCTCCCAGTCCTGGGCACCTGGGTCCAGCCGAGGTCCCCGTCCATCCCCGTCAGCCCGCGTCCCTGCACCCACCTCTTGCCGGCCTCCCCTGCTGCCCGGCCGCGGGCTCCCCATGGCCTCACCCGCGAGGAAGCGGCGCGTGTCCAGCAGCTGGAAGGTGCGTTCGCGCTCCAGCTTGTTCGGCCGCGTGCGGTGCGGGGCGAGCGGGCCACGCCAATATACACGGCCCTGGCACAGGCGCTTGGCGAAGACGCCCTCGGGCAGCACCCACAGCAGCACGCCGCGCTCCAGGTGTGGCAGCAGGCGCCGCAGCACGTGGGCGCCGGGCGGGGGCTCCGGGAAGCAAAACTGCGCCACATGCCGGGGCCACCCCAGCAGGTGCTCTGCAGATCCGACGGCGGCCCGGGGGCACAGGTGGCAGCCCTCAGCCGTGTGCACTGTGGCCTCCCTCACCAACTCCGCGCCGTAGAACAGCCGCACGTGCAGCCAGCAGTCTGCCAAAGGGAGAGGGCACCTGAGACCTCACTGCACGCCCCCTCCAGCCCTCCCTGCAGAGGGGCTCCGGGTGCCTCCTAGGAAGGCATAGTGACTCTGTGGTACGGCCGCAGCAATAGTTGGAATGGCGGTGGTCGCAATAGCGGTGAGAGTAGGGTGGTGGTGGTGGCCGTAGCAGTAGCTGTAGTCAAAGTAGCAAGCATGGTGGTGATATGGCAGTGGCAATGGTACTGATGGGAGTAGCGTGATGGTGGTAGCAATAACAGAAGAGGAAGCAGAAGCAGTAGTAGCAGTAGCAGCTGTGGTGGGAGTAAATAGTGGTAGTAGTAGAGTAGCAGTGGCAATAGTAAGGGTGGCAGTGGTGGTAGTAGTAGAGTAGCCATGGAGGTAGTAGTAGAGTAGCGGCGGTGGTTGTGGTAGAGTATTAGCAGTGGTAGTAGTAGAGTAGCAGTGGTAGTAAAGTAGTATCAGTAGGAGTAGTAGAGTAGTGGTGGTGATAGTAATACTAGAGTAGTAGCAGTGGTAGTAGTAGAATAATAGTGGTAATAGTAGTAGAGTAGTAGCAGTGGTGTTAGTAGTAGTGGTAGTAGTAGTAGAGTATCAGCAGTGGTAGTAGTAGAGTAGCAGCGGTGGTAGTAGTAGTGTAGCGGTGGTGGCTGTGGCAGGGGGGGTTGATAGTAGTAGTAATGGTGGTGGTGGTGGTGGGAACAGTCATGGTGGTGGGAGTAGTGGCGGTAGTGGTGGGAATGGCAGATGGTGGTAGTAATGGGGGAGTACTGATAAGTCACTTTTAGTAGAAACAACTGGGAGTTGGGCTTAGGATCATCTGTACTATGGGGCACAAGCAAAGCCCTCCCAGACTCAACTTCTGGAATTCTTCTGGAGTAAGCGTCCACCCAGCAAACTTTTAATCCTGGAGGAAACAGTTGCCACCACCAAGCATGACCCTCACACGAGGTGCCAGCAGGGATCACGGCGGTGAGAGCCGTGGACTTCGCATCCCGACCTCTCACTGAGCCTCAGGGGTTCCCCAGCTGTGACAGGCAGTAGGTCCCGCAAGGGGCATGGGCGGACCGCACTCCCAGTGAGTGTCAGCTGTGGTCACTGCGGGTCTGGCTCCTGCCCTGTCTCTCCCCGGTTCTGTGCATGGTCAGCGGGCAGGGGCTCCAGCCTCCTTACCAGAGTGGCCAAAGTCCTGCCAGGGTGAGGGCATCCAGGGAAGAGACAGCTCCTGAGCTTGGTACCCTGGGGACAGAGCAGAGTGTGGCCCACCTCGTCCTGGGCCTGCACCCCTACATCCAGGTCATGCAGGGGACATGAGAGGTGAGGGGGAGCCCCGTCCTCGTTCTTACTGTGGTCAGCCAGAGGATCTGGGGGCAGGGCAGCTGGTGGCAAGGAACCCCTCTGGGCCCCTCGGGGATGCGGCTCCTCATCCTTCACGGTGGCTGATTCACAGCCATCCTGGGCGTCAGGAGAGACAGTCGTGAGGATCACAAGGGTGGGAGAGGGCGACTGTGGGCACAGATGTCCCCCGACTGTCCCATTGGGGTGGCTGGGGTGGGGTAAGACTTTGGGGTTCCCAGCCCCTGCCCCCTAACCAGAGGAAAAGAGAGAGCTGAAGACCCACTGAAGGTGATGGGTTGGAAACGAAGCTTGCAGGGAGCGAGTGCTTGGAGGGACCAGGGTGGGAGGTGCTGGAGCCATGGGACCAGCACCGGGATGGCTGCTGAGGGGCCCTAGGGATGGCGGATGGAACCCGGGTGATGGGGACAGAGAAATGAACCTCGTCAGAGATGCAGGTGAGAGGTAATGGGGCCAAGGTGGTGGTGGTGAAGGGGGTTCGGGCGGAGGGAGATGATGGAGTGATGGCAAGAGCGAGATGGGCCGAGGGCATGGGCAGGGACTGAGTGGTAGGACTGGAACTGCTCGGGAGTGGAGTAGTGGACGCTGAGGGAAGTGTGGGCAGAGGGAGGGCGGCAGGCGATGGAGGTGAGAGCGTAGTCGGGGAGAGGAAGCAGCTGCCCAGGGTGGGGACAGGGACCCACGGGGCTGGAAGGTGGGGACATGCTGACCTTTTCTGTGCTGTGGTCCAGCCCGGTCACTTCTCCAGGGGGCGCCTGCTGGCTCTGGAAATGGCCCTTCTTTTCAAGGGGAGCAAAATCCTGGGGAACTGGATGGAGTAGAGTGACCTGGTTGCCTTCTGGGTGACAAGAGAGAACCCTCCCTCTCCACCAGAATGATCCCAGACACGAGTCCCTCCCTGCAATCCTGGGCACGCCTGGCTCTCTCTGGGCCTTGGTTGCCCCCTTCTTGAATGGGGAGAGAACTGGGGTTGGTCTGTGAGGGGCTGAGCGACCAGCCCAGGACGCGCGGCTCCGGAAGCCCACCACATCCCATCCATCTGGCAGAGTGGTAAAGTGAGCTCGGCTCAGCCGCGTGGCAGGGGCAGCGATACCTGGCCGGGGGGCTCCATCTGACACAATCCGGTAGACCTTGTAGGGGTCGTCACAGTCCAGCTGGCTGCTCTCCCGCACCTCGAGGAAGTCGGTGCTCTTGTTGAGGGCACAGCGGAGCCGCGTTTTCCAAGCAGGGGGGTCCTCCTTGTCAATGCCCTCCTGGTGTTTGCCCTTGTATATGGCCCAGGCCTGGGGGTAAGCAGGGGGCGTTTGGGGGGAACAGCCTGGGAAGGCAGCAGCACCCCGTGGAGGGGGAGGACGGCTTTGCCTCCCACCCTTCTCTGAACACCCCCATGTCCTTCCCTCTCACACACATATTCTGGAAATTTTTTTTTTTCTTTTTGGGTCACACTGGGCGTTGCTCAGGGCTAACTCCTGGCTCTGCACACAGGAATCACTCCTGGAGGTGCTCGGTGGACCATATGGGATGCTGGCAATCAAGCCCGGGTTGGCTGCGTGCAAGGCCGCCCTACCCGCTGTGCTTCACTCCAGCCCCATATTCTGGAAAATTTAAAAAATTTAAAATTCTGAAAACTATTGGGGGATATACCAGGCTGTCCTTGGAGGGGCTGTGTGGTGCTGGATTTGGGGTTCCCCACATACAAAGCATGTACTGCAGTCAATTGAGCTATTTCCCTGTTCCCTTGGGAGCTGCTCTTAATTACCAGAGCTAGAGGTTCAGGGCTGAATGGGGGAACACTATGACATGGTCCCTGTTTCCAAGGAACTCAAGTCTAAAGGATGCAAACAGCTGAGTTTATTACAACTTCCAAGGAATGGATTGTGATCAACAAAAGCTAGAGGGAGGTGAGATAAAAAACCCATGGTAGCGATTTGCTATCCGGAGAAACATCAAACAAAATCCTGACCCATTGACACAGATGATTAAGAAAAGCAAAGTTAAGAGGTGGAACGGGGTGGGGGGCGGCTGGAGCAACACACAGCCGGTAGGGCGTTTGCCTTGCACGTGCCAACTCGGGTTCGATTCCCAGCATCCCATATGGTCCCCTGAGCACCTCCAGGGGTGATTCCTGAGTGCAGAGCCAGGAGTAACCCCTGTGCATCGCCAAGTGTGACCCAAAAAGCAAAAAAAAAAAGAGGTGGAACGGTAAAACAGATAGAAGATAATATAGGAGAAAAATCTACAGGCAGAGAGGGTGCTTCTTAAATAGAACTTCAAAGGCATGAACCACGAGGCCAAAAAAAAAAAAAAAACTGTAAAAAATCCACAAAGAAACAAAAACCAAATCAGCAAGAAACCAAAATCTAGAAGCTACAAGAAACTTCTGCAAATCAACAAGAAACAGAACATTCCTCATCACACCCCTGCAAGAAAAAAATTTCCCTAACAAAGGAGAAGAACAGTTTCCAGTACAGACACGAAGGGCAGCAGATTATATGATCCCATTTATAAGAAATCTTCAAAATAGAACATTGTTAGGAAATAATTAGTGATTGCCGGCTGCTGGGGAGGGTGGAGCAGAGAGTAACCATACAGGAAGCAGAGTTTCTTCTGGTGCTAAAACCACTCTGGTGTTAGCATGGAGATAGCAGCTTGACTTTGAGAAGATCCTAAAACCCTGCACTGGGTTCATTTCCTCAAAAGGATGAATTGTAGAACATGTGAATTATAACTCAATAGAAAAATCTACGTGGTTAAAAAACAAATTCGTGCTTTACGAAGGAAGCTGGATACGTAGAAGCACACAAGAAAGTCCTTAAACTCACTGGTATAGACAGATGCAGATAAAAATAGGAGCTGCCATCTCCAAGTTGACCAAGACCAGGGCTGGTCAGGATGTGGACACGATGGGCGGAGCTTGGCACAAGAAAGTGCTTCTGGGTGGTGACCTTAAGGGAAAGTCTCTTCTCTGAGCAGAAATTTCAATTCCAAAGGAATTCTCACAGATGCAGGGACATCCACAGCAGGGTGACTTGGTGTCAGAGAGGGACCTGTGTCCCTTCTGAAAAGGACTATTATGGCAGTAAGGAGAACAGGAGATCAGGAAAAAGAAACTGTGAATATCCTCCAGGCCAAGTTTTTATTCTAGGGACCCAGGGTCCCTGAGGGGGTTGGAAGTCGGGTGTGGGGGGGAGTTAGTGTGTTAAGGGATGGGTCAAAACAGCTGGAAGGGGGGGGGGCTGGAGCGATAGCACAGCGGGTAGGGTGTTTGCCTTGCTTGTGGCCAAACTGGGTTCATTTCCTAGCATCCCATATGGTCCCCCGAGCACTGCCAGGAGTAATTCCGAGTGCAGAGCCAGGAGTAACCCCTGTGCAATGTCAGGTATGAACCAAAAAGCAAAAAAAAAAAAAAAAAAAGCAGCTGGAAGGAAGTGGGGGACAGCCCTCAGTATTTCCCGCCTCCGAACAGCACATACATCTCTATCTAGGAACAGATCATGCAGCCAGATGCTCTACACTAACTAAGTACACCCTGAGTAGTGCTTAGCATTCCCAGGGAAAGTTGTGGCAGTGGGTGGGGGTGGGGGAGCAGAAGGGAGCAGGGGTGAGTTGAGGGAAGCAGAGCTGGAGCTGCCTGCACGCAGCTCCTCTGAGAAGCAGCTGTTTGCGCTGAGCACGAGGGGTGTTGGCCAGGCAAGGAAAAGTGTTCCAGGCAGAGGGAAGCACGTGTGCAAAGGTCTGGCCGTGGACCGAGATGCGAAACATTTAGAAACCGAAAGAACCGTGGAGCCGGGTGTAAAGTTGAGGTGGGTCGTGGAGAGAGATGAGGCCAGGGAGGAGCCATTTCTGCAGGGCTTAAGGTCGTGGTGAGGAGGTGGGACTTTATCCTGAGGACACTGGGGAGCCACAGAAGGATCCTGAGGATGGGAGTGTCAAGGCAAGAGGGACACTTAGATCCCTCTGAGCAAGATGAAAGCAGTGGCTGGAGTGGTGGAGCGCTTGCCCTGCATGTGGCCAGCTGACTCGGGTTCGATCCCTGGCACCCCACACAGTCCCCTTAGCATCGCCAGGCAAGTCCCCTAAGCACCACCAGGCATAATTCCTGAATGCAGAGCCAGGAATAACCCCTGAGCCTCACTGGGTGACCCTCCCCCCAAAACAAAAACTATGAAATCTAGCAAATAACTGCAACATGCACAGAACAAGAGGGTATTAAGCCGAGGGAAATCATCCAGAGGGAGAGGGACAAACGCAGAATGAGCTCTCTCAGGCGTGGAGCATAAGGAAACCGAGTAAGGGCATCACAGATGGCCAAGGTCCTTCCTCCGTGGTAAGACCCCGGGTCTGCCCAGGGGGCAGGGTGGGGGCAGGGGGAGACCTCGGGACTTTGGTGGATGGACATTGGCACTGTGGGTGGATGTGGAGTTGTAACATTATACACCTGAAACGCTAACATTAACAGAATTTTACATCACGGCGCCTGAATAAAACTGAGGGGAGAGAAAACTCCCTCTGAGGGACCGAGGGGGGATGAGGAATGGGTGATGCAAGAAGCCATGGGCACTGTGGCAGTGGGGAGGGAGTGTCTTGGGGAGTAATGGTGGCAATGGGTCCAAGCTGCAGGACTGGAGGAGGCACCACTGGTCTCAGTAAGGGATCGGGATGAGGTTGGGACAGCAGTGACAGGTTGGGGCACCTGCCCTGTGTTCGGCTGTGTGGGCCTCATCTCCCACAGGGGAAAGGGGAGTGAGTAGGGGGGAGCTGAGGTGTGTGGTCCGGAGCTGTGCTGAGTGGGAGAGGTTTGGGCCACTGAGGCACAGTGTCCAGAGGCCCCTGACCAGGAAGCGTGGGGCTCAAGGCTGTGGTGGTGGAAACGCAGCAGAACAGGAATTTAAGGGATTCAAGCACAGAAGGAGATTGGAGGGTGCGGGTCTCTGGAAGAGGAGAGGCTGGGGTTGGAGGCTGAGAAACATGGACCAAACCGGGAAGAGGAAACTGAGGCAGGTGAGGATGAGAGGTAGGGACAGAGGTTCTGAGAGCATGGAAGAGGGAGGGACCCCAGCCTCTGCCCCCCCAGAGGTCAGAGTAGACAAAGGCAGTTGATCCCAGCCTTAAATCTAGTAACTGGAGAATTGGGCAGCAGCTGGGGCGGAGATGGCGGTGGGGATGGGATCAGGAATCGGGGGCCGGCAGAGATCAGGGGGGCTGAGGTGGAGGCGTCTGTGCGTGGGGTGGGCTGGCCGCTGCTTACGCTCAGGGCAGAGGTTCCCGCGTTTAAACTTTCGGTGGGCGAGAGCCTGCCCGGGGCAGAGAGTGAGTGAGGATTGAGCAAGGGAAGCGACGCCCTGCGGGGGAGGGGACCCCTGAACACGCTTTCAGCGGGGAGTTGCCGGAATTTCCAGCCCGCAGTTGGCGGGCTGTCTGATTTCGCCCTGGGGAGTGGTGCAAAGAGGCATCGGGAAGAGCCCAGGCGGTGTCCAGGGGCGTCCGAGTGCCCCTTCGGCAGGACTTACCCTGAAGAGCGCCGCGTCCCGCTGCGCCCGGTAGTCCTGCTTGGCCGCGTGCTTCCAGGGGATGCGGAACACGGTCTTGGCCGCGTCCTCCCAGCGCAAGCCCGCGTAGCGCCCGCTCTCGATCTGCGCCACCAGCCAGTCGCGGAGACGCAGGGGTCGCGGGCCGCCGGGGCCCTGGCCCTCCGCCGCGCGCCAGGGGTCGCGGGCCATGCGCGCGGGCCATGGGCGCGGGCGCGGGCGCGGCCACCTGCAGGGTGCGCGAAAGCGAAAGTCGCCGGGGCCCGGCCGGTCGGGTTTCACTTTCATTTTTTGGGCTCCCCGGGCCGGCCCTTTCGAGGTCGCTGGGCGCGGAGGGCGGACGCGCGGGTGCGGGGAGTTTTCCTCTTCCCAGGAAAGCGGGCGCTTTGGGCTTCTTTCTCGGGATCGGCGGGGAGGGGCTGGCAGGGTTTCAGGGCTTCTCACTTCTCCCAAAAGACCCGGGGACACAGAGGCAGCTAAGGGCGCCTTCTCTACTGCCCACCTCTTCCAGAGCAGCACGCAGGGAGCAAGCAAGCTCTGAGCACCACCAGGTGTGCCCTCCAGCCCCCCTCCCCCCACACACAGGCTCTTGGGTCAGACATATAGTTCCCTGGCTGAGCACGTGCTTCACATGCTGCAAGCACCTTTGGGTGACCCCCACCGTTGCCCCCCTCCTTTCCCCCACCCCCATCTTGCATATTCTTAGCCTCTGCCTGCAGATCTGCAGAACCAGATTTTCTGGCCAGGAAGCCCAGCAACCCATTCTAAGGAACCCCAGTCCCAGGGGACGCTCCCAGCTCTGTGCACAGCCACACTCGAGTATGATTTCCTTCCATAAAGCCCTGACACACCCATGTACTGGCTGACCCCCACAGTGCCAGGCTTTGCTAGAGCCTTTCCTGCATTTACTGCTTCTGAGAGGAGGTTCTGAGAGCACCAAGTTCTGTAACAAGGTTCTAAAGAGGTGCCAAGCTCCCAAGAGGCGAAAATCTCTTCGTGGGATTCGAACCTGTGTCCCTTGGCACCAGGAGCCTACCCCGCCTCTCCGTGTACCCGGCAATACAGCGAATGAATTCCTGGTGGTCTGTGATCTTCTCTTGGCAAGGGTTCTGTTAGCGTTTGCATCACTCCTTGCCGAATGGGGTAGGTGGGTGGGAAGAGGGTCAGGAGTTCCGAAGGAACCTCCTTGCTGAGTATGTGCAGAACAAACTGGAGGGCAGAGGCTCCTTCCTGTGACCTCCAAGTCTAGAAAGATCTAGAAGGATCCAAACAATCGCCCTAGGATTAGTGCTGCTGAAGTTCAAATCCAGTACTTCAGCAGCACTGTTGCGGTGTAGCTCTTGGGGTTTTTCTCTGAGCTCTTTCCCAGGTGGGGTGGTGGTGGTGGTAGTGAAGGGACCACCTGCAGGGAGAAGTCGGTGTAGGGGCTTCTCCAACTACATCTAGGGAATATAAGGCTGGGGGCGGGGAGTGCAGGGGCGGTAGCCAGGTAAGGTGTTGCCCTTACCCTCAGCCCGGTCAGGCCAGGCGCGACCCCTGAATGCAGAGCCAGAAGCCCTGAGCAATGCCAGGTGTGGCTCAAAAAAAAAAAAAAAATCAAGAATGGGCGGGGGTTGAGGAGGTGGAGAGGGGCTGCAGAATGAGAGAGACCGGGGTTGGAGAAGAGCAGAGCCCCAAAGCCTTGCTAAGACGCCGGCGGCGGCGCTGGGGGAGAGGTGGAACGCGCGCGGTCGGGGAACCGGTACCCTCTCCGAGTTCCTTATGGAGAAGGGCGGATTCCCGGGCCTTCGGGGCTGCAGACCTACCCCTCTCAGCCCTGCTTTCTGTGGGTCTCAGACCCTTCTCCTGCCTTCGCTGAATGATCGAGAGACGCTCACACAGGCAACTACTGTGTCTCTTTAATATCCACCAGGCCGCGTCCAACCCACCGCCCACCCGCCCCTCCCGCCGCCTTTAAGGGGAGGCCCCGGGTGCCCCCTTCACCAGCCCCAGGATAAGGCACCAGGTGGCTGCAGCAGGCCGCCCAGACACAGAGACCGAGGACACAGACGCGGACAAGCGAGGGGGGGGGCGGGGGGGCCTCGGGCTCTGGGTCCGTCCCGGGAGCCGTGGGAGGCCCCGGCAGCCCCCGGAGGCAGGGAGCCGCGGTCGGGAGCGAGAGGGGAGCCGCGGCGGGCGGGCGCCTCACTTGCTGCCTTTGCGGGACAGACAGCGCGGGAGGCACGAGAAAGTCTGCTTGACGCGCGCCAGCAGCGGCAGCGGCCGGTGGGCGTCGCGGGCGGCTCGCGGCACCAGGCGCTGCAGGGCGGCGTCCGAGCCGCGGGGCTGCTGCGCCCCCGACGCGCCCGACGACGCCGAGCCCTGGCGGCAGCGCTTGCACAGCGGCAGCAGCGTGCGCACGTCCTCCTCGTCGCGGAACGGGCTCTCGCCGAAGCGCTCCTCCAGCTGCCGGCGAAGCTGCGGGGGGCGGGGGGGCGGCGCGCGCCGCCTCGGTGGGTGGCCGCACCCCGGGGCCCCGCTCCTCCCCGCCCCGCTCCTCCCCGCCGGGGGTCTCCAGCCCCTCCAGGAGTCCCTGCCCTGGCCCTGAACCACCCAGCTCCAGAGAACACAGCGGGGACCACTGAATCCCTCCGCCACGGCACACACACACACACACACACACACACACGAATCCCTCCCGCTGCGCCCCACGCACACGCGTGCACACACGTGAATGCTTCCCGCTGCAACCCACACACACGAGCGCGCGCGCACACACACAAATCCCTGCCGCTGCGCCCCATGCACACGGGTGCACACACATGAATCCTTCCTGCTGCAACCCGCGCACATGAGTGTGTGCGCGCGCGCACGCACGCACACACACACACACACACACACACACACACACACACACACACACCTGCCTCCTCCTTTGCTTCTTTCCCCTCCAAGGGTGCGGCAGGACACCTGTTGAGGGCCTTCAGGTTTCCTTCTCTCTTGCTTCTCTCTCTCTCTCTCTTTCTCTCTCTCTCTCTCTCTTTCTCCTTCCCTCCCTTCCTCCCTCACTCTCATTTGCTTGCCCTTACTTGCTTGTTTTCCTTCTTCCATTTCTCTCCTTCTGTTTCTGTCCCCTCCCTTCCCCTTCTTCCCTCCCTCCCCTCCTTTCCCATCCCCTCCCCTCTTCTCCCTCCTCTTCCCTTCCCAGAGCAGCTCAGTTTCAGACTCTGTATGTGCTTTCTGCCCCACAGGTATTAGAGAAGAAACTACTTGGGCTTCCTCAAGGACCCAGAGATGGGACAGGAAAGGGACAGAGAGATATTTCTCCCCAAGGGGTCAAACACTCAGATGCTTTCAGGGTCCAGGTAGGTGGCTCAGGCGGCATTGGAATCTGGTCAAAGGGAAGGGTGAAAGGTAGGCTCCATGGCCAAGCTCTGAATTAGGAAGGGCAAAGAGACCGTCCTGGCCAAAGAAATCATACCTGTGGGGGTTTAGGCTAGCACAAGAGTCATGAGGTCAAGAGCCCAGAAAAAAAAAATCTTTGGATGGAAGATAATCTCTTTTCCGTCCATGCTCAGAGGGCAGGAGAAGGCTGCCAGCCCCCACCAGCCCCTGCCAGTCCCTACCTTCCGGGAATTGCCCCAGCCAAACTCTTCAAGCTGCTGCCGAAAGCCAGGGTTGGGGTTGGCGATGGGCCGCGTGGCCTTGATAGCGTCCAGCACGTCCCTCCAGCCCAGTCCTGTGACTGTCATCACATAGGCCGTCACGATGGTGGTGCTGCGGGAGATGCCTGCAAAGCTGGGACGCCCCCACCCCGGGCTTCAGGTAAGGCCCACTCCCCTCCACCAGACACCCCAGCCTCCACCCTCCCACCCCCAAGTGGGCCTCCCTGAGCTCTAGCCACCGCGGGCAGCTCCTGGCAGCCACCTCCACACGTGCCCCTCTGTGCCCTCTGCCCGGAGCACCCCAGGTGTTCTCGGCTTCAGCTCTACTCAGGCATCTAGCTCTTTCTCAGGTACTGGAGAGACGGTGGGGAACGAAATGGACCTGGACTCTGCAGCTCGGGCCCTTACCTTACGGCTGCGGGGAGCAGACACTGACCCAGGAGATAATTCCAGGCCAGTGGCCATGGCTTTGAAGATGAGTCTAGGGCCAGGAGTTTGTATAGGAAGAGATTTTAATCTAGTGGGGGTCAGGGACTGTTAGGGAAGGGACATCAAACAGCCCTGAAGATGGGTGGCGAAAAATGTTCTGGGCACTGTGAAGATGATGAGAGAGGAGCCCGGGTGGATTGAAGAGCAGAGGGAGAGGCCGGGGAAGTGAGTGCAGGATGCAAGATGGAGCGGAGCTCTCGCTCTGTCTGGAACTCAGGAGAACCACCCAGCAGTGGAGAAGGCAGGGGCTGGCTGACATCCATGAAGCCAGACACCCGGGGGAAGGTTCCTGGGTTCTTCCTCCTAGCCTGGGTACCAGTGTGTGTGCACCATCACCTCACAGGCCAGACAAGAGCCAGGAGTATGGGGGTGGACGGTGGTGCTGGCCTCTCAGAATGACCTTACCTCTCTCTGACCATAGCTTGCCAGATCTTCGTCCCCTCCCCCACCCCTGCCCTCCTTTACAGAGGCAGAAGTTGAGTTTGGGGGAGAAACAGCTCTTTGGGCCAGAGTCCCCCAGCTGTTAAGGGACAGAGCCCAAATTGGAGCCCCCCCTCCACACTTGGTCTCTCAGCAGGCACTGTGCTCCTATGTCTGGAGGATACCCCCCCCCCACACACACCGCCCCTGCACTCTCCACCCCCCCCCCCTCACCAACTCACCAGTGCACCAGGCAGTTCCCCCCATTGAGGCGGCAACAGTGGATAAAGTTGATACATTCTTTGAAGTGTTTTTTGCTGGAGAGGAAAAAGATAGTGTCCCCGCACTGGCAGGCAGGAATTCCTGGAGGTGGGACTTCCCATTGATGAATTGATGAGAGTCCCAGTTCTGGGGAGCTCTGGTCAGGCAGGGAGCGGGTGCCAGTACCGTTGAGGGGGGTGTGGGTAGTGATGGGGGCTAAGTCCTGTTTAGCAAGGGCAAACCCTGCGGTCCAGGCAAGAACAGCTGCTTGGGGCCTGTGGATTCTGTTTCCACCTTTGTAGGGAGCCGGGGGTCCAGGGGGCAGGATTATCTCTTCCAGCAGCACAGACGTAAGCCGTTTTGCAAACTCTGGGGACCTTTACCCTGTAGGACCTGACTGGGAA